CGGGATGCCAACAAACACTAGCACCTACAACTATCCACATGGCTGAATTATGACCTAAATTAGAAGAATTTTAAGATCTCAATCATCTCATGATATAGCACATTATTCCAAACTCGTTTCGCAGTTTCATCATACAGTATGCAGTGGGCTTCAATAAGAAACGCTGTTACTAAAAAGCAATCAAGAGAGGAAATTTGAAAGAAAATATTCAACACTACAGTTACTATATCCATCAAGTTATGAATTACAGATTGTGAAAATCTTGGCAAAACTGCAATTTTTCGCCTAGCACGTATGCCACTCAATCGGGCAATTTACAAGAAAATCCAGAGCGGATTATGACTCCTCCTGAACGAAACCATCTGTGAGGAGACAGTCTCTACGAGTCATCTCAACAAACATGGATAAAACAAATCAATGAGAGTGAGTCAATATGCATCTGATATCCCCTCCATCTCCCACCCCAAAAACACAACCAGTGGAAGAGGAAACACTCTCCACTTGTTATACGACGGGAAATGAGCACCCCCTCTAGAGACGGACGAGAATTAGGAGCAGACGGACGGGATTAGACAAATATGGCCGTCTCGGGCGCAAGGCACAACCGAAGATTCTTGATGTGCCAATAGAGGGATGTGTGTAGGAGTATTTATAGGTGTGAGGTGGGAATGACTGAGCAGAATCGCGCTGAAATTTGATTCCAAATACAAGGATTAAAAATCAAGTCCAATTTCTCTTTCATTGCGATTCTATAAGTTAGATTGGACAGAATGCACTACAGCGAAAGGTCAAAAGGGTGTTAGTTACCTCATTCCTTCACAGCACACACGGTAATTGGTAAATTAGGGATTTGAAATGTATCCTTGGTTAGGTATTGTTAAGAATGTTCGAGTTGATGATGAGTAGGCACTAAAAAGCGGTAAGCCACTCCTTTTTTGACATAGACGGAACTCTATTTCAGTGACCATAATACGTTGGTTTCCTATCCCTGAAATGTTTCTTTCATTAACCCTATTGTGTCAATCATTATTGTTTCCACATCCTCATCACCTTAAAAATAAACATACGGGTATAAATGAAAAATGTTGTACTTTTGTTTTGGACTCTTTTTATAAGCTACAACATACATGGACAATAATAAAGTAACAGTCATCACAAGTGAAAGCTACATTAAGCCTACTATATCAAACAATCTCGATGAGCATGCACACAAAATTGGCATTTTCAGTGATTCTTTTACCACAATCGTTCTCAAATAACTTGACTAATAGTACAACATTCCTTATTTGTTTGAAGTTACTGTAATTCTTTGGACTAAAATCTCACTCTGGTACAAAATGAGTCCTTGGTGTTCTTTCTCTTTCTCTATAATAGTATTCCTTCACTTTCTTTTCATTAGAAAACAAATCTTGCATTTGAGACAATCCATCTGTTCCATTTTGTTTTTGATTCAGCTTTTTTTCCTTTTTCCCCCTTCTTTTGAAATCTCAAATAGCTGCGCCGAGGGCATACAGGTATTTTGGTTTTCTTCCTGATCAATTAGACAAGTCAATTAACCCACAGACATTTCCCACGGTTTACAAGAAGTTCTGCATTTCCGCTGTCTGCCACTATGTTTCCCCTGAAACATCTGTGAGTTAATGAGGACTGACTGGTCAATTCATGGACTGGACAGGTATCATACAGGTAAGACGGTCAACCAAGGTCAAGCCCAATGTCTGTCAGTATAGAAGAACTTAATTTGACGAGAAAGTGTCAAAATATTTCCTAAATGGAACAGATAATTACAGGCATATCCCTAATGCAATGATCTGAAATATGATACGAATGGATCAAGCAATACATACAGAGCTAATTAAGGGAAATCTAACCCTTGTAATAACTATGAAAGCAGGAAAAAACAAAACAAAACAGAATGGCGGAAGTTTGAAATAAATCATACCAATATAAGAAAGTTATGAATGTTTCAAATATGAGATCAGTAAGTCTATACGAATCTCAATTTGGCAGTTTTGGTCAGTGGATTGTGACGTAGTCAAGGATAACACCCGTTATATATATTATGATTATTATTATAGATCCTCGAAAGAGAAAAGACTCTCCCGAGTCGTACATTTTGTAGTCATTTTGTGTGTTGGAACAAATGAGAAAGTTCGTTTATTTTCTCACTGCAAACAGCTAGTTCTTTGCCATAGATCTTTACTTTGAAAGAAATGTTTTAAATCTACATTTAATACAGCAATAGACTCTGTTTCAGAGCCAGAATGGCATCAACTCTGTGTTAAAGTACATGTATATTAACACCCATCTGGCACTAAACAGATATGATTCACATGACCGACATATGGAAATGATGCATTCTCTAAAACTCTCTATTCACTTTCTTTAAATGTGATCTGACATTCATTGCACATATTTCCATCTCAATGATTTATAAAGAAAATCATAATAGTAATAAAGAAAATTATGATAGGGACACTATAATTGATTGGATGGGGAGGGTAATGTTATTGCATCAGGGGGATGTTTCATAAAGATCCTAAGTCAAACTTAACTCTAAGTTCGACTTAAACCTTAAGGACTGCCATTTGTAGCCTTAAAATATAATATATTTAAAAGCGAAAATTCAAGTATTTCAGACTCTTTATGAATTCCACATTAAGAACATGAAATCTCCTTGATAATAGAAAAAATGAATGATTTGAATCAAAATGTTATGCCTTTTAAAATCAAAATTAAATTTTCATAGATGCTAAATGCTTTCCATAATTATTTAGTCCAACTTAGAGATAAGTTCAACTATCTTTGTGAAACACCCCCAGTTCTTCTATCTGTAGTGGATATAGCAAAGATGCTTGGAGCCCCCCTCCCCCCTCTCATCAAAAGAGTATCTTGTCAACACACAGCATAGAATCTAACTCCCAAATGATACAACAAGAAACATAAATAGAGCAGAGTTTGAAAGATGATAGACAACCAGTCAACCACTTCATAAACCAACGAAACCTTGATGATCTAACAAAAACAACTCCTGGGAAAAAAAGATTCCGTCTATGACAGCTGGAATTAAAATTACGATGGCATGGGAATGAAGGAAAGAATAATACCTAAGACAAACTATGTCAAGGCCTTCTTGACCATTAAGTACATTACTCATTGTAAAAACTTGATCAGGTGCCAAGACAAGGACCTGATATGAAGTGTGGTCAATTGAGAAATAAAAGAGGTAAGAAAAAAACAAATATTTTGCTTTCTTCAGAGGAAGTAGTTTAATGTAGTCATTAAAAAAAGACAAGGAAAGACAGATACTTTGTTTTCTTTAGAGAATGTTGATGAAGACAGTCCCTAGAATGGGAAGAATGACAAAACAAAGAAATGATTGCAGATATTTTGAGTTCTTTACTGAAAGTAGCATAATGTATTCAACAAAAAGAAAGAGAGACAAAGCAATCATTAAGGAATAAAGATACAAAAGAAAACACAAATATCTTGTTTTCTTTACACGACATGGTTGAAAAAATAATCGATCAGCACCATGCCACATCATTAAGACGACAAAGAAGCACATCCCATAAGGGACGATCAATCGATCAATCAATCGAGCAATACAGAGACAAAATAAAACCAAGACTTAACCCCATTCACACGAACCATGGTAAACCCACTCAAAGTACAACTACAGCAAAATCTTGCATTTAAATGATAGTCAAGAGGCAATATTCCGGAAGTAGTCAACTGGATTAAATACTTGACTGGGGATGCAAAGGTGACAGGTCAATGGTTTAAGCCCAGGTGTGACACTAGTATTCTTTGCCAAGATATTAATCTACACTTGCCACTCTCTACCCAGGTGTTAATACATACTTTTTGCCTATTGTTTTGTGCAAAAGTGCACATGTGGCAAATGAGCGACAGTGTAGAGAGGCAATGAAAGCAATCAAAATGTTAGCGCGGTTAACCCCCGTGTCTGAATGACCCTTCAGGACTCCACATGACAGGTGTAAAGCTGTCCTGGATGACATAAAGAATGAGGTCAGATGGAACCTGAGTCAGACAAAGAGTTCCTATTGACCTACATTCTGTTCCTAATTACCTGATTTTACTTTCTAATTACATGAGAAATCAGACAAGCTAATCGCTCCGTGAAAGAATCACTATCTCAATCTGAGTTCCTGTCATGATACAGGAGAGGGAGGGTGGGAAACTTTGATTTTACGATCAAAGAAGTTCTAGAATTGGAAGATGTTGATCATCAGCACACAAAAGAAAACAATAGACAAACAAATCACTTTTTTTCTTCATAGAGCTGTCTCATTCTTAAAAATAAAATAATTTATCATGTTTGGAACCATATAGATGTTAATTAACTCATCTACATTTATTTCAACACAGAATTAATGCCCTTCTGGCTTTAAAGTTCAAACTGATAATATGAGAGGTACAGTCGGGAAGGAAGGCCACTGAAAATAGAGAATTGTATATTAGAGCACAGGCATGCAATAAAACTTGTTATGTTATGTTTTGTTTTGTTTTTTATTTTCTGCAAGGTAGTAAGCTCAAATGCTTCCCATTGTATACTCATTGTTTTAAATATTTTATTTGCATTCTTTAGATGCTATGAGCAAACATGTACACTCAATGATGGAGAGTGTACTAGAAGCATGACATGTTTTTTTCAACTATCATCATTACATTACATTTAACAAGAATTGCAAGCTTGTCATCATCCCATGGAACGTATATATGTTCACCTCCAAACTCAGATTTTTCACTGGGAAATCAACTATGGCCTGCAAATTAAATGAAATATTCCATTTCATCTTCAAAGGCTCCCATGGTGAAGATAGATGTAACTGTAGCTTGCAGTTACACCACATATTCTTTAGAGAATGATTAGGTGGCCCTAATATGGGCCCTACTCAGGTTGTACCATCTTCATTATGCAATCAGGAGATTCTAAAGTTGTTGCTGACCATGTGATACAATTGATATAAACTTACCAATTCTCTCCTTCCTCTTCCTCTCCTTCCTCCTTCTTCTCTTCTTCCCCTTCCCTGTATTCACCTTCTTCCTTCTCTTCATTTTCCTTCTCTTTATCCTCCTTCTCTGGTTCTGGTTTCTTATTCAAGATGGCCGAATGCAGTTTATTCTGGAACTTAGCCAACATTGCCAATGTCTGCAAAGGAATGAAATCAATTTCATTCTATTCTAATTTAAGTCGGTTTCATTTAACCGCAGACGCGTCATCAGTGGTGAAAACACTGTTTTACATGAGGGCCATGCACAATCAACTACATTACATAAAAATCATGTAAGTAATGTACTATACAAAAGCATGATAAAGAAAGACATAACTACCAATTCATCATTTAGAATGTTAGTTTGTCATGCTCTATGTTCCCCAGAAATCAAGTCAAATCAAATAATACTTCGAGACTTTAGATATAATTCTTGAAAAGGCAAAATAGCTCAGTGGTAGAGAAGTGGTCTCGTAACTGGCAGGACCTGTATTCAAAACCAAGTGGATTTGCTAGTGCAAATTGATAAGGCATTAATCCTCATTACCAAGTCCCTTGTAAAGAACTTAAAGCCGCTGGTCCCTGGTTGCATTATAAAGTTTTCTTAGCAGTCAGATAAAATAAACCATCGATCCAACCAACATCCCTTCAAGGCAGTCTCATTTATGCCTTGTTAATTTATAGTCCACATTCATTTCATTTCTAGATTATAAAGACCTATCAAGGATAAACAAAGGGGATAAGTTCATATTCAAGTTAGAGTTCAAGTTCAAGTTCAATTCACTTGCTGATAAATGTAACCATATTTCCTGCTTGTGCATTTCTTGGCATATGTCAAAATGACTGAAGCTTTTTCAAGAGTACTTGTATTACATTGCCAGATGTGAATGATATAAAGTTGTTTTTGTAGGATGTGTAAGGCAGGAAGGTCAAGTTCATGTTGAATGGGTCAATATACTCTACAGTTGTTCCCTACTAGAATAAATTTGGCACATTAAATTTCAAGGCCGCACTTGCCTGTAAATGTGACTGCTCTTTCTGCAAAAGCATTTCTTGGCATACATGCTTGTTGACGTGAATTCAGGCTTATTATTTATTATATCATTGCCGATGAACTTTACGTGTGATGTCTTGTGTACAGAATTAAAGTTCATACTGAAGGATTCATTGCACTCAACAACTCTTCCCTATTAGACTTGTGGGGCGTTGCAAGAAAGCAATCAATTGCAAATCCCCTGAATCAAGCGTAAGTCTTGCGATTAAAAATTGCAAATTTGCAATTTATCGCAACTCAACTTTCTTGCAAGGCCCCATTAGTAAGAGAGAAAGAGAGAGAGGGGGGGGGGGAGGAGGATAAAAGCTAGATCTAGTTTACTTAATTAGTTGTTAAAACTGTAATTCAAACAAAATCCTGGGACATTTAAGAGACTAGTAGGGCATTGCAAGAAAGTTGAGTTGCAATCAATAGCATTTATTTTGAATGTGTTACAATAACTAACAGTTTTCACCCCAGCCCTTCTCATTTCAGACAAATGTTTGATTTCTCATTCCTATGACCCAACGCTGAATTGCATTCCCCCGGCAACGTCACTGAATTCTTGAGCCATTGAATACTACTGCGGAGGCAATTGGGTTATTGTCTATAGAAAAAGTGTGCTATACCGAGATCAAATTATATTCAAGGAGTTTAGGCATGCTCCTCACCAACGATGCCATATTTTCATCACTACCAATCTGTCCCCCCTCCCCTGCCATTTCCCACTTCAATATTCATCTTTACAAGATATCAAATCAAATCAAATAAAAATTGAATGATTGAATTCCACTATGATACAACACATACATGCACAAAAAAAATCAATGATAAATAATTATTGTAAACTATAGTGATGGCATTATTAAAAGCACATATTAAGATATAAAGGTCAAATGAGTGGATTGCAGACTCCTTTGAAAGTCACCTTCTGTTGAAAAAGGCATGCCATTATCCATCACATAAGTGTAAATGAATGAATACAATGTTTTAAATAATATAAGTTTACTAAATAAGTTCTACATGAAGTTCAATTTTTCTCTACACTCGCCTCTTGTTCCCTTGTAGAGCCTTTCTTGGTCATCGTCTTCTTCTTGGCCTTAAACTTCTTCTTCTGAGCATGAAACTCTTCCAGTTCATCTCCCTGGCCTGAAGTTTCCTCTGAAAATAATAATCAAATGAAGCGATCTTTACCCTAGGTATCCCATCAAAGTATGCCCCTCCTTACCCAGGTTTAGTATGAATTTTTGAGTATGAAATACAGTCAAACCTGTCTATAGTGACTGCCCAAGGGAAACCAAAAAAGTGGTCTTTTAGACAGGTTCCTTTAGTACATGTTTCAATGAGAAACCATTTTCAAGGGAAACAAAAAATGTGGTCTTTGTAGACAGGTGGTCACTAAAGCAGGTTTGACTGTACTTACAATCAGTATAACTTCCCAGCTCTGAATGTCTTATTTACTTTGATATTTAACTCTGCTTTCTCTAAATCCTAAAACGTACCATCTATCAATTGAGTATAGAGCAATTTGAAGGGGAAAAAAGATAAATGATTTATCTAACATTTAATGAATACACCAACTAAACGGTAGGGTTATATAAATAATAATAATAGGTTCTTGTATAGCTCTCATGTCTATCAGACTTGACACTCCTGGCACTCCGCAATTATTACCCCAGCTGTAGCATTACGGCGCTCTAGCATTTCAATTTACCCGTTTATATCACCTGGGCCAAAGGACATTAGTGACTTTGTGATCCACAGTCCAGTGACGTATCCACTTGACCACGACACCTCTACAATATCAGATAATACCTTAAGTAGAGTCAATCCTTGCTTTTCTTTGACCTAATGTTCTTTGTTAATATCATTCTGTTCTCTGATTAATATATCAAATATAAGTCACTTCACAAATTGACTTGAGATTACAAAAACAAATGACTAGGTCTGATAATATTTAGGTAAAAATAAATTGAAGAATTTCAAAATACATGAAAAAGAAAGTATCTCTAGTTTGTTCAAATAGATATATTATCTTTTCACATGATTAGAAAAACATATACTTCCCACTGTGTAATTTGAAACTTAATAGCTTTCTGTTGATTTAACACACAGAGATGCAGTTGAAAAACACTTAAAAAGCTAAATTCAATATGAAAATTAGTTTCCGGCTCTTGGAAGACTTCCAGCATCATACATATCATATAATTGACTCATACATTACATGCAGATCCCAACCTGATAAGAAAAGCGGAAATGTGAGAACCTAATTTTTCCTCATGATAAAACAAAAGCAAATCATATGCAGTCTATACAAGTAATATAACATAACCCGCATCGCCCTAAACTACTACATCAACCCAAACACCACAGACTGGATGGACAAAATGATTACTGTCAATGCATTGATGATGCTATCAATGACTTCCAAATCCTACCTTCTTTGGTTTCTTCTTCCTGTTCTACTTTTGCCTGTTCTTGCTGTGATTCCTGTTTTAGCTTCCGTTTTCTCCCTTCTCTTAATTCTTCCTTCAGTTTTCTCGACTCTTCTTGCAGCTCTTCCCTGCAGAAAGCAAAATAAGACCAAAACATGCTATCATTTCATTTCATTCAAATTAAGAAAATGCATCTAAAAATAAACTCTTTTAAGACACAAGTTTAATGCAAGTCTGGCTCTGAGAATTTCATTTTTTATACTTTATTTATCTACATTTTTCTTCCTTGTGTGATTTGAAATAGAAGTTATATGATACAATATCCTAATTATTATCATTATCAAATATACATCCCAGAGGGATAAATCAAAGAGCCGACAAATGACTATTATTACCCTGGCTTCAGCCCAGCTGTCCTAAAGCATTACAAGTATTCCAGAAATAAATTCCTACCAGGTACCTATTTAGAAGTTTCGTAGTCGAGTGATTTAAGCACTTGACTTAAAATTCAAAAGGTCGTGGGTTCGATCGCCGACACGGCACTTATGTCCTTTGGCAAGGCATTAATCTACATTTGCCACTCAATACCCAGGAGAGAAATGAAGACCAGGTAGGATGACAAAAGCATTTTTGTTAGTAATTGCCTATGCCCTCACAGTGACCATATGGTAGGAATACTCCCCAGGGAGTGGAGATGGTGCACATTGTGTGTGAATGCATACGATGACCAGGGTAATAATATCTGTAAAGCACTTAAAGACGGTATTCCGTATTAAAGCCCCACTGCACTACTTATAGCTACTTGCGCCCTCTATATAACAAACAATGCATAATCAGTGACCATTGGTCCCCTATGATCCTCTTTTTCTTATGTTAATTGAGAGTTGATTTGATGAGATAACCACCTGTCCAGTGACCTTGCAGGGTCGTCTAATCCCCTCCTGTACACGAGTACAGATGGGCTTTAAAGCGCTATATAATCCAAATTTTTATTATCATTATTTACTACAAACACAAAAGAATCTGACTTGCTTTCTTGACAATGGTTTCTCTTCCTTCGGTGAGTCCTTTACCGTCTCCTTTGACTTCTTTGTCTCCTTAATGAGTTTGGATCGAATCTTGTCCGCCATTTCTTTCTTCTTCTCTCTTATATTCCTCTCATACTCCTCTTCTTCACCCTCCTCGTCATCTTCATCATTCTCCTCATCTGACGGTTTCTCCTCTCTGAAAATGTCAGTAGTAAAAGAAATATAAAATGGGGATAATTATGAGAAATAAACAGACATTTCTGGGAATGGTTAAATCAAGAGAAATGATGGCACAGGTCTAATACCTCAGAGGGTGAGTATGACATTTTTTCTTCTTGATGGATACCATAAAGATAACTGGTGCAAAAATGTGGTACGTAACACTTCATTTATATGTACTTTCAAATTTATGACTGACGACAACATTTCTTTAATCGGGATAGTCCGTGCTTTCCAGTATGCCATACCAGAACTATGGAACAATCTTCCAGAGTCTCTAAAACGTTGTCCTTCACTACATCAGTTTAAATCCGACTTAAAAACATGTCTGTTTCGATCATGCCAGTTTTAAATTTAAATTTATATAGTAAACATGTGAATTTTGTAATTGATTTGATAATTGTAATTGCTAAACAGTGAAAGCTCAATATTCTTCATGTCTTTTCTCTCTTCTCTCTCTCTCTCTCTCTCTCTCTCTCTCTCGTATCTAAGCGCATAGAGACAATTTTGTAATATGCGCTATATAAGAATTGAACACTATTATTATTATTATTACAGATACAAGAAACTTATGGATTCACGTTTGAGCTTTAATGCGCATCAATGGTCTTCTTGCTTCAAAACAATGCAAAGAAGCAATTTCTAAACCCCAACCTTGTGATATTAATAGGGGATATAAAATGAATATAGCAACAACCAGAGAATGAATTTTTGACAATTCAAACTGGACCCCCAAAAAGTTACATTGTAATTTCTGAATAATTATTGCTACTAGATTTACCCATATATCATTTGCCATAATTAATGCAATACATAAGTTAATTATCAACACAAAAGACTTTATATGAATTACCGTTTGTCATTTTCTGAACATTTAATCTAATTTGAAGTTATGCATAAAAACATACATATTCAATTATTTATATTGTTTCCAAGTATCTTTCAAATAATTTTTTCCCCTCCATATTTGTAATAATTATTATGCCTATATTGTAAAACAAAATATTTGTGTACCATGTGAATTACATTTTCTAATAAATATAAATACAACACAACTACTTTACAACTCCTATATTCCTGTTGATACTTACTTCTCTATCTCTACAGCTGGGGTTGAGCTAAGCTTGGGATCCTTGACCAAGTCATGCATACTCTTGCTCTTGTTCTTCATAGACGAGCTGGCGATCACAGTTTCCTCCTCATCCTCCTCCGCCTCTTCTCCAAATGAAAGTAGGCTGAAGTTTCTGATGATAGACAGAAGAAATAAAGGGTTTCATTTTCACAAGATGAATGGTTTTTTTCATATGTTCTGCCTGGTTATCCTCCTTTGCTTCTACTCCAGTTGGGAGGAAACTGAGGTATCTGATGATAGAGAGAAGGATTAATTGAAAGAACTTTCTGATGACAGACAGAAGGAATAAATGGTTTCATTTTCACACAATGAAACTTTTTCATCAGCTCTTCTCCAAATGATGATAGACAGAAGAATTGAATTGCGTCTATATTAGAGACTGGCTAGCTACAACTTCATCTTCTTCACAATCTTCTGCTTTGTCTGCAAACGATAGTAGGGTGAAGTTTCTGATAATGGACAGAAGGAAGAAATTTGTAGAAATTTGTGTTGCTTTCAAACAAAATCACTTTGTGGTTACTCTTTTTTAAACCGGTATCCTCATTCTCCTCAGCTTCCTTCCCAAATGAGAACATTATAGAATTCCAATAACAGTCAGAAGGAATGAATAGTTTCAGTTCCAGATTATCAAAGTGTTCAAGCATTCTGCTTTGTTATCATCCTCTACTAACCATACTCTATGTCCTCAAATAAAAGCAGGCTCACAATTCTAATTAATGACCACATATGGTCGTCATAATACAAATAGGGCAATATAATGCTAATTGTCAACCTTTTTACTCAATGGCCTGAGAAAAACATCAAATAGTGAGTACTGAAGCAATAATTATACCAATTTATTTTTTCCTATTACATCTTTTTGAAAATGTAAACACAGGACAGAAATTATATATTCTCCAGACTTACTTTGTTGCCTTTGATTTACTTTTAGACTTCTTTTCTTCCTTCTCTTGTTTCTTCTTCAGCTGACGAGGAATGATGTCATCAAATGGATTGGCAAGGACCTGACAAAATAAAATCAAGAGTAAACAAACCTTTTCGTCCTTTTCAAGCTCTCATTTCAATTATGGTGAGGGATGTTGCCTAAACTAAAAGAGTGGATATAAAAGTCTCAGTAATTACAGTAAAATATCCGATCAATGGCGCACTTTTTGAAAAAAGTGTCCTCACATAAAACATTCCTAGGGCATCCAGTAATTAATGAACATATATGCATGATTGGGAATTAATAAAATGCCTGAAAGTATTTAAGCATAATAAATATCAGTAACTCCTCGAAAGAGGAAAATGCCGACTGAACTAAATAATGGTGATGAGAATGAATGTACCGGTAAAGGGAAGTATTCTCTCTAGAGGTGTCGTGGTCGAGTGGATACGTCACCAGACTGTCGATCACAAGGTCCACGGTTCGAGTCCCGCCGCGGCACAAATTTCCTTTGACAAGACATTGATCTACATTTGCCACACTCCACCCAGGTGAAGTAAATGGGTACCTTGGAGGAATTTATTCCTTGAAACGCAGCGCGCGTAACAGCTGCACTGCTGAGGGTAATTATGCTGCCTTATTGTAGAGCACTTAGAGACTTCTGATAAAGTAAGTGTTAGACGTAAGCAAATATAATTATTTAAAAAAATGTTTTGTTTACCTGGGTGGATTTAATCTTGGGTGGATAGACTGGTCTGTCATCTGCTCCAATGTCTACTTCACCTAGCTTGACAGCATTGTATAGGGTATTGCCTTCAATCTAATAAAGTAGAATGAAAGAACAGCAAATCTTGTATGAAAAATAATTAGATCATTCGTTCTTTTATTTCGTTATTAAGTTTCTTTTGACAGTATGCTGCAATATCCCAGTAAAGCAAAGAAACAAATTAATTCAAAGACTTGCTAATCAGATCAATGGATGATACTGATATTCATGATATTCGTTATTCATGATATTCATATGTTTTGTATCTCCTACGGTTGTTTCATTATTTCTTTTTCACTTGTTTATTTTCGTCAACCGCTGCAAGACTTTATAATAATAGGCTAGATACATATAATAACTGAAGTGACGACAACTACCAAATGGATTTCAGAATTGTTTTCTAAAATTGAAATCTAAAATAAATGTTTTTTTAAAAACTTTGTGTTGTGTACCGGGTATTCTTAACCTCAATTTTTTGTCATGAATATTAAACCCAGCCACGAATTGGAATAGCGTACCGCATGCGTAATACTCCTGAAAGTAAAGCAGATATATGCATTTGCAGTTTACTAAAATGGAAGATAGCTATGCCCAATCAAAAAATGCAACCTACTGAATTCACACTTAAGCTTAATTTCCATAGGCTTAATAAAATAACCGCCCGGTTCCTGTAGGCAATGAGTTGACAAAGAACCATAGCATCAAAACTCCAATTTTTTATCCTTCAAATTTAATCAATGAAACTGCTACCTAAACTTATGTAGGCATTAATGAAAATATTTCATCTCTGTTTCAGTCAAGAAATATGATCAATGGAAGCAACAAAATCTGCTAAAAATAAAAACTCATGTCCCCATACCTTGCCAAATATGGTGTGCTTGCCCTGTATATGCTCGCAGGGACCGAGAGTAATGAAGAATTGGCTGCTGTTGTCATGGGGACCAGCATTAGCCATAGCAATTAGGCCCCTCCTCACAAATCTCAACCTGGAGTGAAATTCATCCTATGGGTAAAAGAAAAGGGTGGGTAAAAGAAAAGGGTGAATAAATCAAAGCTTGATTGAAATTTTAATTTGACCTCTTTGGATTTTGATCATTTGAAAAAAAAGTAGTGTGCATCTACCGTATATGAAAATAAATATGATAGATAAATGTTATTACTTGTAACATGTAAAGCACTTATAAATAATATTATTATTACTATTCTTATTGTTTTTGTTGTTGTGGTTATCATTTTATCATTATTATGATTATGATGAAGATGATGATGCAGATGATGATTACTACTGCTACTTATACTACTACTACTACTACTAATACTACCACTACCACCACTACCACTACCTCTCACTACCACCACAACCACTACAACTACTACTACTACTACTACTACTACTACAACAACTACTACTACTTCTATTACTACTACTACTACCAATACTACCAATACCACCATCACCACCACCACCAACACCAACACCAACACCACCACCACTACCACCACCTCTATCGCTACCACTACTATCACCACCACCACCACTACTTTTTGTAACTCACTCTGAAAGGGTGACCATAGATTGACTCTCCTCCTTCACCTGTCCCTGTAGGGTCCCCTCCCTGAGCCATGAAGTTCCTGATGATGCGATGGAAGATGGTGCCATCGTAGTAGCCCTCCATGCAGAGCTGGATAAAGTTCCTGCATGCCTTGGGCGCCTCCTTGGTCCACAGCTCTATGTCCAAATCCCCACATGATGTCTTCAGGAGAACCTGATCAAACAGTATTGGAGAAAAAATGTTTGCAGCGAAATGCTAAGCAGAGCTTAGAATAATCAGTTGTGTTTCAAAATTGAACTTTTTAAAAATCAAACTCCTTTAGATGTGTCGTGTATTAAGGGAGTGCTTTTTGTTGCCACTTAACCCTATATAGCCGGGGAGGGGGGGGGGGGGGGGGCTTTAGAAGCCCCCTGTACATTTTTTGTGATCATTTTTTTATGCAAAAGAATCTTGCGCAGACTTTTTTTCTTTTGAGTCTTGCGCATCTTTTGATTCTTTTTCTTTGAAAATCGGACCTACCGTTACAAAGTCACATGACCTTTTGTCTTTGCATGTCAGCCCAAAAATCAATCATTATCTTGATTTGTGTGCAAAACATATGGAAATCTCATTTTTCAAAAAAAGAGATCAAACATTGGTTAGACCGATTTGGTCTTGTTTAAAGTGAAGGTGTTTATTTTGGGATTCAAAATATAGTAAGAAATCAAATACAACAACAAAAACAATAAAATACACAAGTTAAAAAAACAAAGAAATCCATACATAACATGAGAAATTATTAAAAACAATAGATAACACAAGGAATAAAGTGGCTCTTCCAATTTTTTTTTGTATTATTATCCCTATTGGTCTATGATTATGACTCTCTATGCTTTGCTGGAGTGCAATGAACAGAGTTGACAAAACACTTAACTCCCTTTCGTTGACGATCAGCCGTGCTCTGCTCAAAGAAAGACTTGATGCATGGCTGATCGGCAACGAAACGGAGTTAAGTGACAGTCAACTCTGTTTCTTGCTACAGCAGGCAGCCAGTGAAAACGAATTTGTTTAATCAAATTATGGAAATGCAAGCATTACTTAAACAAACAGAACTTTGTTATTCCTGATTCATTTTTCCTGATTGAGTTGTCATATGAAAGGGCAAAAGAAGAACTTTCTAGAAATGTGATTTTCTCTTTGAAATTCAGATACCGCCCGCCAAATGACTTTTGGGTGCCCTCTTCAAATTGTTTTTAATCACTCATGTCATGCGTGAAATATGCATCATATAAGTTGCATCAAATGAAAGAGGAGGATCTAAGCTTAACAAATATGTGTCATTTATTAATTATAATTGTGATTAAGTTATGATAAAACATCGATAATTCTCGGTTTCGTTTTTTCTGGGACGCATTGTATACCGACGTTAGTCGGCGTTACACAATTAGACAGGTATGGGACTACACATCAATATCCATCACACAGCTCAGAACAGACCCAATTTCATACAAATGCTCAAAATGAATTCAAAATATATTCTTAATGTTTATGATATTACCTTTCCATTCGTTGGGGGCTCTTGGATGTATATATTACTCATTATGAAACCAAAATATTGGAAACTATTGCAAATTAATTAGGCTTTTCCATTCCCCACCAGACCCTTGTAGAAGATTCCGACTATCTTGTATTCTAATAGTATGGTATCTTTGAGTATCTTTTGTCATTAATAAAAATCTCTGTCGAGTTTCTCTCTCTATTCCGAAAACTAATACTCCCATATTTAGCAGGCACGGATCCACGGTGAGGTGGGGGGGGGGGGGGGGGCGCAGGGTGCGGCCCGACGGGCCCGGACCCCCTGGCAAAAAACAGATTAAAAAAAAGATGGTAATGTTACTTTCCTTTTGTACAAAAAAAAAAAATATTGGCCCCGCCCCCACACCCGACCCCCCCCCCCCCTGGCCCTGGCTAAAAACAAAAAACAGAAAAATTTAGAGGGGGGTGTTTAAATAAGTAGTATACACACAAATATCGGTCGGCGCGTTTGTTATATTTTCAGGGCAAAATGAAGGAAAAAAAATTAGTACTCACTACCCCCCCCCCCCTTTTGAACTTGAAAGCCCAATAACACATAACAGATTTAATTGCTTTCTCAAATCTGAGATTGGTATTAAATCAATGAAGTATAGGGACAAATTGGTAGATCTCCCCCCCCCCTTCATTTTCACCCTAAGAAAAGAAAAACATGCAATGTACTGTAGATTTTGACATACAAACTATTCAAGTAGCTCGGGAAATCATCTGTAATTGCGTTCAAATGATTAAATCCCGGATTAAATAAAGAAATGAAATAAAATGATAATAATAACATGAACCACATATATCTGCTACTTGCTAGGTGACTCTGTTTATACGTAATTGTTTTACTTACTTACTTTGGTTTACTTTGGTGTCGAGGCTTGAAGCTTCAGCTTATGTGCCCCTCTTTACTGCATTGGATTCGCGTTGGTATGGGTGGTATTTCAGCGGATGGTGCTTCCAATGATTTTCAAGTTCTGACTTGAATTTATTGATTGATGAGGCATTTATGGCAATTTCAGGAAGGTTATTCCAGTTATTAATGCTCCGCACTGAAAATGACATCTGCCTCATCTTAGATTTGCAGCGGGGCTTCCTTATTTTGAGCCTGTGTCCCCTTGTTCTGGATTCTTTGATGATTTCAAATATGTCATTCCTCTCTACTGCCTCCAATCCATGCATGATCTTGTATATTTGAAGAAGATCAGCCCTCTGTCTACGGTACTCTAGTGATGGTAGTTTGAGTGTCTTAAGTCTTTCTTCATAGCTTAGATGCTTCACATCTGGGATGAGTCGCGTAGCACGTTGCTGGACCTTTTCCAATAGATCTTGATCCTTTAAGTACGTTTTAACTTACTTTGATTTGACAAGCTCACAAAGTATTGACGAGCTTAACAATAAATCTATTTTAAAGCACATATGACTTACTATTTTACTTATGTTTTATTTCGAATAGATTGGATAATGAAGACTATGGTTTAATTTAACCGTGGTGTACTGTACATACAGCCAAGTTTTACAGCATGAGCACAATGGTTCAACTTTGAATACACCATAGGCCCTAGGTAGACACTTTCAACTAAAATTTAGTCTCTAGTTTTAGTGTAAAATTCATTTGATCATTTGGCCTGGCGCTGGCCTGACGTCAAGTGACTGGGATCTGGGCCTGGGAAGCGTCTTGAAAGATCACTGTTTTGTCTTTTGACTTGGGATTTTAGGATGTTTTCTCCGGTATATACACAAACCAGGGCAACATTAGCTCGGATAAGATGTCTCCAAGAGTGTATTGAATGCTTCCGTGACGCAAAACGGCTTCCAGAAGCACTGTGTTACGTGCCGAGTGGACTCGAGTTCAAACTTTCCCAGACGTCGACGCGATTAAATGTTTACAAAAATCCAGACAGGCAGGGTGAATGCATCACCACCTTAACAGCAGAAAATGAAAATGAAAACAAGCTGTATGTTGCTGGATTGGCCATGTGCAATTCTCAAGGACAATGGCTAAAATTCGAGGTAAAACATAGACCCCTAGATGGTATTTCACACATTAAATAAGCAAAAATGGATTAAGGAATTGAATAGTCTAGGGCCTAAGGTAAGGGGGACAAGGGCGAATTTAAGCCTTAAGGGGCGCTTGTTTAGTCTATAAGCCTATCCAAAATTTGACCCGTAACTCCGGTGTGGAGATAATGATCTCCGAGAAAACTTACTAAAACATATACATACCCAAAATGAATAAATATTCATTAAATGTCCAAATAAAGATAATGAGTTAAAACTCCTTGTGTTTATTGCCTGTTTCGTGTCAATATTCTTGTTATTTTTGGAGTAGGCCTAGGGTCTAGACTCTAGATCTAGATCTAGAATCTAGACTATTTTTCGGAAAAACGTTGATTAGGCCTACACTTTTTCACAGGTTTCACGGCAAACCGCTGCACAATACAAGTGCATACCGATGGTGGGTTGCGGGCGCCTGTGTAAAGTTATCTACCGTAATGAGGATCAGAGACATAACGGTGGATAACTTCACACAGGCAAACCCACAATCGGTATGCACTTGCAGGCGCGTACGCAGGATTTTTTCAAGGGGGGGGGGGGTTTTAACATTTTTAAATCGGGCCGAAAATTTCGCATCGACTCAGCCAGCCGCTGAATAAGCAGGGGGGGGGGGGGGTAAGAGGACACTTTTTATGCCAAAATAAAAATAAAATTTTAACTTGGGATCTTTATTTGGACATTTAATGAATATTTACTTTATTTGGGGTATGTTTTAGTAGGGTATCTCACGGAGTTACGGGTCAAATTTTTGATAGGCTTCTGAACAAGCGCCATTTAAAAGGTATTTGTTTTAGAATTTTAAAGACACCCTTTATCTGTGTTTTTTATATGGCCGCCCCTCCCCCCCCCCCCCCCCAGCAAGAAAAAAAAGAGTAAAATGTTGTTTTTTCTCAAGGGGGAGGAGGTGGTTGTTGAGGATAAAAAAAAAAGGAGTGTTCATCCCTCCCCCCCCCCCCCCCCCCCCTCTCGGTTGAGCCAAAAAATATATATAATTAGTGCTTAGGTCTACTAGTACTACTAGTCTACATGTACTTACTCGTAGACTTATTTGAAATTTTAGTTGTGTATTGTAATTTTTACTTTAAAGATAAAGACCAGTTCTGTTCATGCGATTGCATTGTGAAAGAAACGTGGAATCGATCAGAAAAGGTTGATCATCTAGCATATAAGTATTTGTGTGTAGGTCTACTGCAAGGTTCTGGAATCATCAAAATGATAAGAAATTTGGCCCAGTCTTAGCTTCGTAAGTTACAAGCACTGTACACAGAAAGATGTATGTGGAATTACCTGACACGTGCGCGATATCTATCTGGTCCAGATATATATAATAATTTACCAAATATATCAATTAGTAGGCGGTTTTTCAGCAAAATTTGTATCACGTATTAGTCAAAACATATTCTTTCACATGGTTGGTAATAAGAACTTCCATTTCATTTTTTGAGGGGGGGGGGGGGGCGTTTCCAAAACTGGTCTTTACCTTTAACAGGTTCATTGAGATACTTTTTATTTACCTTCTCACTTTAAGAATTAAAGAAACCTGTAATTGGTGCCCTTTGCGAAAGAAAAATCTGAATGTCCCAGACTTTTGGAAAATTCTGTACTTTTTTGTTTTCTCCAACATTCTTTACAGAGTCCAGTTGAAGGTTGGGTGCTGCTGTATGACAGTAAGGCAAGCCAAGACGATCCTCCGTCACTCCAACCAGTGGAATCAAACATAGCTAGTCCATCGAGTCTTTTCGGAAAGACTGTCAAACGAATTGATGAGTAAGTACAAAGGAAAAGAGAGGAGAAAAATAGTGGGGAGGGTTACAGAAGTTAATGAGCCCTTTGAAAAATGAATAGACAAATTTGATATTTTTTAAAATTAATTAGCAAAGTATAAGGAGGGGAGTCAGATTCAAACTATATACCGGTACATGTACATGTAATTGATAAGTAGAAATGAAGGTTCTCTTAATTCACAATCTCATGCTGAAGATGGTACATTATAGCAACAACAACAAAAAGTTGTTTATTTGGACTCACTGTAACCATAACTATAAATCTGACTCAAAAGGCCTGTAACCCAAACATTTACCAAATCTGTTATGGATACATGTAGATGTTCAATATGGTACAGGTCACATGTTAAACCAGTCACCATTTTTAAAGCAAAACTTGTGCTCAAATCATTATTTAAATCGGTACTGTCGCTGTTTTTGAAATCATGACATTATCAATACCCACTTCCTATGAGGATGTTGCATAAATATAATTGAAATAAATCTGAGTAGAAATGAAATAACATTTTCTTTTGTCTGTATTTTAGCTGGGAGGAGGTAATAGAAGTGAGCTATAGCCTGCGTATTGGGAAGCTACCCGAGGTGAGACCAGCCCATAGGGAAGGTGTGGAGGACCTAAGGAGCGTCCCTCCTAACTGGAGCCTTGAATGTGATGAGGAGCTAGCAAAGTTCCTTGGGGAACACACGGATCATGAGAACGAGAAGCTGGGAAGTGTGAAGCAGTATGTGGAGTCTGTGGATGTATCATCAAGCTGGGTGAGTGGCTAGAAGGAGTCAAGGACACCTATTACCCAAAAGAGTCATCAAACTAGGGCAGTTGGTCCCTAGACAGCTATCTCCTAACAGTCTCACACATATTGATGACCAGACTATTGTAAATAATTCAATATCATGTGAAAGGTAAAGAAGAGATCTTGGTCTGGTGGTAAGGTTCCAAGGGTAGTTGTTCATGTAATGATGTTGGTGTTATCTGAAGGGGTTATTTCCCTAAAATGGGTACTGTAAATTTCATGAGGTTAAGTCGGCCAAGAATGTGCATGATTATGTGAACAAATTCGCAATTAGCTGGATAAAGAATTCTATGTAACTTGATGTGTGTATAATGATGGGAAACAATCTTGCATGACTGTTTCAGAAGAGACTTGAATTCTCCATTTCTATTACTATTAGAAAAGTGTCATACCTCTCTCGGTTGTAAAGACTCTTGTTATGTTGTGTTTTTATGTCAAGTCCAAGGTATTGGTCATTTTCCCCCATATTTTTCCAAGTATTCTGAAATATTTAAAACAATTAAAAAAAAATGTAAGAAGTAATCTCTATTGGTGATATTTCATCTGATTCAATCTTTACTGGGCTGTTAACTTCATACAATAATCAGACATACTAAAATCTTTGATGCAGTCGGTATTGTATAAGACATAACACTTTGGACCTAAATGAATCCTGAGAAATATTGATATTACTCCTGTTTGCCGCCCCCAGGATGATGAGAGTGCATCGTGCCTGACAGACGGTGATACTACCACGTACTGGGAGAGTGATGGTAGGCAAGGTCAACATTGGATTCGACTGGGTATGAGGAGAGGCACCATTATCAAGTAAGATAATGCTCTTACTTTCAGTAATTGGTAGTTTTTAGTTCAAACTCACCATTGTAGATATATGTAAAGACAAGATTGAATGTAATGGAATAACTACAGCTTCTGTTCTTAAGTATTGACCTAGAATGTAGCAACTGTACAAGAAAGACGAAGAAATAATAACATTTCTTGATTTCTGTTTGTTTGTTTTTTCCTTGTTCAACAAATAACAGTCCAATGGCTGACATTGTTTAAGCCTGAACATTTTGCACCTGTGCATATTCTTTTTGTTACATTGACTGTCTATCGATCATTTCAAACATGAATAAGATACAGGTGACATCTACATTTTCTCTGGTTTTATTACTGTAATAATGAAGTAAACAGAGGAAGGGGTTAATTGTTATTAAATCTGTCGCTTACTGTCCGTGCTTTGATTCGTTTCAGGAAGCTGTTCATCACAGTGAATGCCCATGATGATAACTACATGCCTACCCATGTAGTAGTGATGGCTGGGGATAGAGAGCATCTCGTCAAGCTCAGTGACCATACCATTGAACAGTAAGTCAATCAAATTATCTAGCAATGCATTTATACTTTGATATACTGTATCTGCATCTGAGTTCATCAAAGCTGAGAAGAGGTACAGACTACACGTATGAACTCCTTCCAAATCTCTTGTATTCTACTCTCCTCCACTTGAAATTCCTCCATTTGAAATTGATAATCTGTGATCATTGGACCACATTTTTCCATGATTGTGATTGAAATTAAAAACATTATTGAAAAATGATAACACAGATGCAAGTAGGCTACTTGAATCGATATATGATACGAGCACTTTCATTGGAGTGCATTTATATCAAACATACCTTTTTATCCTCATTTACCTTACAGGACGTATTCAGGAGACATCTGTATTCTAGAGGACATGACACAGTTCTACTCCACCGTGGAAATTAGGATAAAGACGTGCAAGGGTGAGTGGTCTATTCTCTTCCTGGATAATTACTTTATTGATCAAGTGGTAAATTTTTCATTTGTTTACTTAAATTTTATTTTCTTTAATTACTTGGCAGATTTTCATTTGATGAAAGACTTGAAATGTGTAGAAACAGTATTCCACTATTTAATACCAGAATATTTGTCTGACTATAAGCAGGGATGAGATTCCTCCGCCCATTAGCGGATGGCGGATATCCACTGATTTGTAAGATTTCAAGAACTTTTTTTTCTTCCTTCTAACCCTAGCCCTAACCCTTACCCTAACTCTAACCCTAACCCGTAACCCCCTCCAGGGGCATTGCCCCCGGACCCCTATTTAATCTTCCTTCTTTTGGGGAATTTCTGTCTCATCCCTGATAAGAAAAGATTGCTTTTATTTCAGTACAGAATCATAATCTAATCTGTGATATATGTTATGGTTATTTGGGACAAGATGTCTCTATGAATTACTCTTCTTCTTTACAAATAGATGATGGTGTTGATACGAGGATACATGGAATCAAGATCAAATCCCTCAAAGAGAGAGATCTAGGACTCAATATAGACCTGTTTGACAAGAAAGAACTTGTAAGGTAATTAATACCCCTTTTCACTTTTATAGATGCAGTGGTTGAATTGTATCAATTGTCCATTCAGGTATGATGTATATTGTTAGGTAATCCATTTTTATCCTTGTAAGTTTTGTTCAATAAAACATTTTTATGCCTCCGCCACCGAAGGTGGTGCCGGAGGCATCATGTTTTCGGGTTGTCCGTCCGTACGTCCGTCCGTACGTCCGTCCCGTTTGACCGTTATCACAATATCTCAAGAACCAGTTAAGATTTAAACTTAAGACTCGGGAATAGTATTTATCACCATAGGAAGACGATCTGATTAGATTTTGGAGTACGTAGGTCAAAGGTCACAGGTCACAGAGGTCAACTTATGAAATTCCTTGTATTGAGTTTGTTAGCTTGATATCTCAAGAACCATTTGAGATTTAAACTTCAAACTTAAGGATAGTATGTATCACCATAGGAAGACGATCTGATTAGATTTTGGAGCACGTATGTCAAAGGTCAAGGGTCACAGAGGTCAACTTATGAAATTCCATACATTGAGATTGTTATCATGATATCTCAAGAACCACTGGAGATTTAAACTTCAAACTTAGTGATAGTGTGTATCACTATAGGAAAACAATCTGATTACATTTTGGAGCACGTAGGTCAAAGGTCAAGGGTCATAGAGGTCAACTTATGAAATTCCATACATTGAGATTGTTATCATGATATCTCAAGAACCACTGGAGATGTAAAAACTTCAAACTTAAGGATAGTATGTATCACCATAGGAAGACGATCTGATTAGATTTTGGAGCACGTAGGTCAAAGGTTAAGGGTCACAGAGGTCAACTTATGAAATTCCATACATTGAGATTGTTATCATAATATCTCAAGAACCACTGGAGATTTAAACTTCAAACTTAATGATAGTGTGTATCACCATAGGAAGACAATCTGATTAGATTTTGGAGCACGTAGGTCAAAGGTCAAGGGTCACAGAGGTCAACTTATGAAATTCCATACATTGAGATCGTTATCGCGATATCTCAAGAACCACTGGAGAATTTTCACTTCAAATTTAATGATAGTATGTATCACCATATCATAATATCTCAAGAACCACTGGAGATTTAAACTTCAAACTTAAAGATAGTGTGTATCACCATAGGAAGACAATCTGATTAGATTTTGGAGCACGTAGGTCAAAGGTCAAGGGTCACAGAGGTCAACTTATGAAATTCCATACATTGAGATTGTTATCATGATATCTCAAGAACCACTGGAGATTTAAACTCCAAACTTGTTTAAATTGCTCTATGGCGGAGGCATCATTTTCGACTGCGCGCAGTCAAAATTCCATCTAGTTTTCTTTTGTTATTAAAGCCTCGGTCACAAATGCCATTACGAACTGCTACGAACAACCGTACAAACGATTTTCAGACAATGGAAACTCGGGAAGACAATGGAAAACCAGGGAGATTCGTACGAAATTATCGTTCGTACAAACCTTTGTGACCGTAGCATAAGATATATATACATTGTAGAAGTACAAACCAAACAACAACAGCAACAACAATTATATGGAGAATTGTTAAAACAAAGATCACCATGGCAAACTTGTCATGAAAATCTATCATGAACACAAATTGCTCAATACTGCTGCCTCCTCAATGCATCTGATAAGCAACTTAATGTCATCATACGAAATGGAAAGTAACATGTGTTATAAAGTTGGTATATTGGCAGTAGTAAGAGTCTTTTCTGAGTGATCCTATGCCATCCGGTCCATTACAAAGTAATTCTTACATCTCTATACTCATTTCCATTTAGGTATCCAAGGTTAGAACATGTAGATAAGGAGAAGTTATACCAGAGGGCACTCATCTTGCAAAGGTAAGAATACGATAACATTCTCACTTGTCTACGAGCTGTACATGATTCCAATATCTCTTATTCAAATGCTATTTTATATTCTAGTACCTGTTATGATTAATATCTGTATATTTCCTGATATTAATTATACCCAAACAAAATGTAGAAATAAAACACATAATAGACAGAGTCAATATCAGTTCTGTTGAATGTAATTTTTTCAATTTTCTGTATTAATTTGGGATTTATTTGTGCGCAAAGTCACTGAAGCAATGTCATTTCCTCTAAGACCTTTGAACGCTTGAGAGTTAGATTATTTATTCATTTTTTGTTTAATTCTTATCAGCTTTGATATTGAGCATAAATTCTAATTCATTCATATATTTTCTTTCTAGTTTTATCAATGTATAAAAATTATCAATTTATCAAATTAAAAGATATGGATCCAAAGTTTGCATAGATGCATTAGTTTTGTGCTTCTAGATTATAATCATATGTGTATGATTTGATTTCCTTTCAGGTTCATCAAGTTGCTGGACAGTGCGGTTCATTTCATCGTACCAGCTTGGGAGTATTCCGTGGGGTCTTTCCGTTCTCTAGAGGTCGTTCGTCAGTTCTTGCCACTCTCTAAGAAACGAAATGGTCTCATCCATCACTTCCTTAGCCAATCAGAAACAGGGTAGGCAATGGTATTATTTTACCTTCTAAATACCAGACTTCATGAATGACATACATGTATGATTTGTGTAATCATGAAATATTAAACAAAGTTCAAATTCCCGTCTAGACTTTGTAAATGTTTTTTTCTTTTTCTCAATAGTATAAATGTAAATTGTTCTGTGTGAAATATCCGTTTATCAAAGAATTTTGTTTCAGATTTTGTTTACCGGTAGAGGAAATGAAATTTCTATGGAGGCAGTCGATCTTTCTTCTGCAGCCCTTTGGAATTTTTCCTGTGAATTTTTTTTCCATATGAAACCTTTATGAAAGATAAACATGTGTATCTGTCATCCATAACTTCAGCTCAGAAATGTGCTGAACTTCCTATCCATTCTTTTCATATGTACAGAATGGCCATATTACTTATTTTGCCTTTGGAGAGCTTGTCCACATTTTGATATTATTGCCATCATAAAATATGTACTCTGTAGACAGCCATGGCTCCTTTTCAACCCCTTTATTATGTGACCACTTCCTATCTCATACTTTAACCCATTAAGTACTGAAGTACTCTCATTACCAAAGGTTTAATACAGGAGCCATCCAGTTCCTTAGGCAATGGGTTAACCTTTTCTTTCTCATACTCGTCATACATGTACAGGAGACCCTCTCGGATGCCAAGGCTATACATCAACCGACGCAGTGCTGCTGATCATAGGATAGACCCCTTTAAGGACCCCTCCGGCAAGAATTCTATCTTCTCTCAGGTATGCTTTACTTATCACCAAAGCAAAGAGGTTAGGATGAGGGTCTTTGAACCAACATGAAACAAGAAACCAAGTTTAAAACCTCAAATCCAAGGAAATCTTTCTGATGTAAATGCATATGTCCAGTCATACAAAGAGCTGCTTTTGATCAAAATCAGTCAAGTCATCCAATCAGTTCCAAAATCATAGTCTCCTGTTTTTTATGTTTGTAGATATGATTGATATTAGATTAAAGTGAATATCAATTAGTTTGGATCAATTACAAATCTTTTTGAGGTATGGCCCACAAATTTTATCATTACCACTTCTTCTATAAGCAGTTGTCTTGGGAGCTCATATCCCAGAGTTGAACTCCTTCTTCCCCATCCAAGATGCTATTAACAATTGGAAGATCTCAGTAGATCAGACATAACCATGAATACATTTATATATTTCAAGGTACCAGTAATCAAACATTCCCTTTATGATACAAATTATCACCATTTGCCTGTTTTTAGAAGATTGCTGGATTGACCCTTCTGTTATTCATGTCACATGTTTTGCTTAGATTTTAAACAATGGGAGTAGAGAGACTATTTATGCCCCTTTTATATTTTCTAACAGATGTATGAAGGACTGAAACCGAAGGACAAGTTTGAGAAGCCTTTAGATTTCAGATGGCCTCAGCAGTATGATCAATGGTGGGAGTGCAAGTTTCTATCAGAAGGGATCATCGACCAAGGTAAGGTTTTAAATAGAACATTAGAGCCTATTTTAATATGGTTGTGGTAGGGCCAAAAACTTGTTTTCAGATTTCTTTTTTTTTGCAGGCATGAACAAAATTCTACATTCCCACTGGTTTCCACCTTTTTTCTTAGAAATGTAACGCAGGAAAAAACATCGGGAACGTGGCCAATTACTAAGAAATGTAAGTGGCACTGTGAGCACTTGCAGCCAATAGCCTATGTGTTGCATTTATTGTTACACTTGCAACAGGAAGTTTATTTTTTTAACAGCTGGTTTTACTTTAACTCTTAAGCTGCCCCTATGCAATTCACCCAGTGCCACAGTGCTAATCCCTATTGTGCCCGCTACTAATCTCCTGTGTGCCAAGTTAATTTAGGGTTGGTTCAAGTGCGTGTAGTTTAAATTGTTACTATGTTTGATCCACTATAACATCTCATCTGTATATTGTATAAAAAAGAACTGTACGTTAAAGTTGTAAGAAATTTAACCCTCTTTCTGTTGATACCAATATCATTTCATGAGTCTGTAATTTTGGTAAAGTAAATAAGCACTATCAGTGAGTTGTCAAACCAATCCGTTGTCTCATTTCCCGCACACAATCTGAGGGGCCATGATCAAAACTGACAAATTTGATGATAAAATATCGCAATTTTCTCAGGAAAATTCAATGTAACGGTATATGTGAAGCACGCAAAATCAAATCAACAATAACCCCCTCCACAAATACAGTAAGCATTCATGCGTGCACGCAATGCGCATCGCACAATAGGCATAAACAATTAGCTTGTGTACTTATGCACGAAAATGTGTCCGTGGCACGCGAGCGAATGAGAGTTTATGTGTGCATGGCAAGTCAACAGAAACCCGATTATGTGTGCGTGGCACGCCAGCGCATGCACAGAACAGTGTTCTTGGCACGATAAGAGTTAAGAAGAAAGTTTGTGAATTGATACTTGGGGGGGGGGGAGATGTTCTATATATCATCAGTGTGAATATTTGCAGCAAGGTGTATTTGAAAAGTGTATTGTTCGAAGTTAGAAGGGTGTATACTTTTACACATAATTAATGCCCTTCTGGCTCCACACAGACAAGATGAAGTATCATAATAATAAATATCTGAATAAAGAAAGCAAGATTTTTGCTATATTCCTATCATGTTACCTCACAGATATTATTCTTTTCTTGTTATGTCTGTGTATCTAGGAGGAGGATTCCGTGACAGCCTTGCTGATTTAGCAGAAGAGCTTTGTCCAACAGGGAAAGATGATCCTATCCCTCTACCATTCTTTATCAGATCACCCAATCAGGTATGTGTCAATGGCTTTTTATTTTATTTTTCATGTATCTTTTGGGCATCGTGTTCATTACAGCTCATACAACCAATGCAGAATGTCATCTACGTAATTTTAAACTGATGAATCCGTAGAGTAATATATATGACGATTCATTGAGAGTTTCATACTTTAAGACAGTTGGATAACAACCATTTCTGCCCGCAAGACAGCCATCATCTACAGCTCCCAAAATATCTGGCTGCAAAATTTTCTTTTTGATAGTACTTAATTTATATTAGAGGAAGAGCTGCATGTATGCCAGTTCGAAACTTTAAGGATAAAACTCAGCCCCTATAATTATATTTCACATTTATTTGCTGCCTCTTCCTCAGTAATAGTATTAAAATATTGGACTTTATATCACATACTCTGTTTTGTGATTAGATTTACATTCATAGACCCTCAGTATCACTCATCTCCGTCATTAAAAGAGAGAAATATTTATAGATGTATAATTTTCACATTTTCTTAATTCTATTTGGATGCAGAACAATGATGATTCCAACATCAACCGAGATGTGTACTTACCAAACCCATCCTGCCGGCAGTTTGCCAAGTATGAGTGGATTGGGATGTTGATGGGAGCTTGTCTCAGAAGTAGAGAACATCTGGTAAGGATTTTTTTAATTGTATCAAACTCCCCATTGCCCTCCCCCCCCCCCCCCCCATTTTTCTTGCAGAGCTTTGTGGCTCTGTAGAAGTTAAATTTGTCTTAATCTGAATTGTTGATCAGGGCACCATCTAATAAAGAGTTGGATTAATCAAAATCGATTGCAGCTCTTGTCAATCGCAAGTTTGCAGTCTCCTTTCTCTTCTGTAATAGTTGCTTTTGATATCAATTGATATAACATATAATATTGACTTGATCATTGTCATGTGACCATATTAGAAGTCTAGATGTGTGATATGTATCAGTTATTGACAGATCATATATTAAATATGGAAAGAAATAAGATAGAAGCGACATAAAAAAAGTTCTGTCTAGACTAAACAGCTGTGGTCTTGTTTTTATGTGACATTAATAATAACTTATACAGAAATGGCTAGAATTACATCTTTAGTGGGCAACTGAACTGCCTTTTTACCACTAGAAACTAATTAAAGATACATATTTTGTTTGACTCTATCAGGTTCTGTCTCTACCAGCATTTGTATGGAAGCTGATGGGTTATGAACATGTGACCTGGTCTAGAGACTTCAAGACTGTGGATGCAGCTTGTGTAAGTCATCATCTATCATATCAGTTTAATATATCACACTTGATAGACATCTTGTTAATCAATAGATTTTGACATTGTGAAACGCAAACAAATGGACAGATTTAATCCTTTTCAGCTAATATTGTGGACATCAGCATTTGTCCTTCTCACACATCTTACTACAGGCCTTAAATTTCAATATGTTGAGGGCAAGGCCACTTTTCTGTAGGGCACATTCCTATATTACAGCACAAATAGGAAGAATTGAAAAGCGCACAAAAAAATCTCCAAGGCCAATGAGAGGGGCTTTAGGGCCAATCAAAGGACATCCACGGCCATGGCCTTGGATTAATTTAAGCCCTGTTACTATTTCCATGCTTTTGGAGGAGATTTCCTCTTTGATTTTTGAGAATTTGAATGTTCTGCTATATTTTCTATTGATAGCATAGGTTTTCTTGGCCCTGTCTTATAAAGATCAATCATAAGTCCTCCTATCAATCTCAAGTTTGCGGTCTACTATCTCTCATGTACATAGTTGCGATTGAAATCAATCGTAAATAAGTTGCGATTAATATAAACTTTTTATAAGACGGGGCCCTGGTATCAGGATCACCTTGGAGCGATAGTTTTAACCATCACTCCTCAAAGCAGTGAATAGTTGTACAGTGTATATTATTGCCCTCTGTTATAGCATGTCCATGTACATGTATGATGATTAAAGGGACTTGGTAACATTGTTCAGATGAGAGAAAGTAGTGCTAAGGTAGTGACTTCATTGCTAGATGTACAATTAAAGATAATCTGAAAGTTTGAGTGGAAACGGACCATTATTAATGATATAAATTGGTAAAGACTGATCTGATCGATTCCTTAATTCTCCCAACTATGTTATTACAATTTAATTACATTTTAGGTGAATGTAAATTGTCACAAAGCAATGAATTGGCTCTGTATACCATTCCAGACATTTCAGTGTTGACAGATTTTTTTAATAGCCTGTTTTATGTCCTTTTTTTCATTGAAAACCGATGGGAAAATTAAAAAATGGTTGGGAGAATTTACTGTTAATTACTGTTAGAGGGTGTTGCACAGTGACACCTTCAAAGAAAACCATAGATATCTTTGTGGTTTGAGAATTTTTTCAGGGTCGTTTGCATGTCAGAGGGTTAGTACAGTAGAAGGAATATAAAAAGTAACATTTCTTACAAAAATTATGCAATTTTTTATTTTGCATAACTTTCAACAATGTTACTGAGTCACTTTAAAGATATACATGTACTATACATATTTTTGTTTTTTTAAACATAGGTGAAGATGATAGAACTAATTGAATCTATGGACAGAGAAACCTTTGAGGCTTCATTCGCCGGTGAGCTGACTTACACCACTAGTCTTAGTGACCAGACTATTGTACCACTCAAGGATGGCTGCACTGATACACATGTACTCTATGATGACAGGCAGGAGTACTGCAGGCTGGTGAAGAAGGCTAGAATGGCTGAATGCACAGAGCAGGTACAGAGTAATAAAAATCTATTTTTGGTGCCTGTTCAACACTCACGTTGGTAGATTATTTTAACAAAATGTTTATCTAGTTTTTAATTACTGGGTTCTTATTATGAATTTGTAAAGTCCAAATTCATATCAAGAGAAGGTGAATGCTAAAACTGGAGGAAAAAAACATTATCATGTCATCATGGACTGTCCTTCCCATTTCAAACTTACAACCAACCAAATAAAACATTACATTACCTTGAATGGCCAAATATTGGCTGGTTCGAAATCAGTTTTAATTTTAATTGGTGGTGGGCGTGACTATGGTATTTTACTATGCATATCTTCTACATATCATAGGTATGCATGCATGCCTGATAATTATTCTTATACCATGTATATGGCTCTGTGTTCTGTATATATCTGTGTAGGTAGAGTCTCTGAGACAAGGACTTCTGAAGGTCATCCCTCAAGCTGTCCTTGACCTCTTGACCTGGCAGGAGCTTGAGAGGAAGATCTGTGGTGACCCTATGATCACCGTGGAGGACTTGAAGAAAACAAGTAAGTAATCAGTTGGATTGTTTATAATTGTTAATAGGCATTTGTGTGGTGCTGTCTCTCTCAAACTTTTACTCCAAGGAGGACAAGGAAATGTAAAGGTAACAAACGAGCCATATCTGTGTATCAAGCTATACTAAAGAATAAACATTTCTAACATGATTTTGCAACTTTGTTCAATAATGTGTAATCCCTATCTTAAAAACGATTGAATGTCCTTGAGTTATTATTTTAGATAGCAACTGTGATGTTAGTATAGCTCTATGCAGTCTAAAGAGGAGAGGAGAGGAGAGACCAGAGGGTGACAGTGATTCAGTTCACTTTTTGCCCCCAGGCACAGGTGGCGCCAAATACTTAATGATAATAATAATATGGTAATCTTCATCAAGTGCAAAGTGTAATCATTCTATATTGTATTTTCAGAGTAATTAGTATTCAGAACTTCAGAACTTCAGAATTTATATAAATCAAGAATTTTTTCCCCTTTTTCTCCAGCATTCTATGAAGACATCGAGGAGTCTGACATCAGAGTCAAGTACCTTTGGGAAGCACTCACTAAATTCACCCATGGTAAGTGACAAAGCTATTGCTGCACTTTTTCTAGCACACATGTGTAACGGAAAGAGGGCTACTCGCAATTTTCTGTCAGCAAAATTGCTCAAATTGCTTAAATTGCTCAGATGATATGAATACTAAGATTATGAGCAAGTTTGAATTCTTTTGCATTGAACTGCATTGCAATATGCAGAATTAACTTAATGCCTATCTGTACTAGTTTGGCCAGGAGGGATTAGATCGCCCCGTAAGATCACTGGCAGGTGGTTATCTCATGAAATCTGCTCTCATTTAACATATGAAAAAGGGGATCATGGGGGATCAACAGGGACCGCTTAGGCATTGTTGGCTTAATAGAGGGCCCAAGTAGCTATAAGTAGCGCAGTCTCGCTACAAGTCAAACATTCTTATATCATAATTTTTTGTTTTCATTTAAATTCTTGTCCTTTACCTTTGACCTTTGACCTGCACAGAGGATAGAAGTCGTTTTCTGAGGTTTGTGACTGGTAGGAGACGCCTTCCTGCTCCTCTCTACATCTGCCCAGATAGAGGGTGAGTATTTAGTACAGTGCCTTCCTTTTCTCTAATTCTATTAGTCTGTAATGATATGTGTATCGTGCATGGTTAGATCAGGATGAGAAAGTGGCATTTGATAAAGACAAAAACATTTTTTTCTCTCTCCCTGCCATCGTTCTCTCTCTCCCTTTCTCTCTCTGCCAAATCGTAAAGTGTAACTATTGAACTACCATCTGGTATTTTTTTTGTTAATTTTTTTCAGAGACAAAGTTGATGCCCTGCCAGAGTCATCCACATGTTCCAACACATTGTTCTTACCAGTGTATTCCAGGTAAGTTTTCTCTCCTCATCATGATCATAACATACATTGTCTAGAAAGGTATTCCGGTATGCAAATGTTGTAGGTACTCTCATTTTATATTTTGTATCTGCCTTTACCATGCTTCCTCTCTAAACCCCCCCCTCTCTCTCTCTCTCTCTCTCTCTCTCTCTCTCTCTCTCTCTCTCTCCCTCCCTCCCTCTCTCTCTTTCTCCCTCTCCCTCTCCCTTTCTTTATCTCTCTATGTTTGAATCATATTAGTGTCATCATTATAAAGTTTATTTACAAATATTATCAAGACTTACTGGCACATTATTTCTCGAATCCGAGGAAGGGTATTCTACACTGTTGCTTATCCTATAAGCGAGTTCGTAATTAGGATTTGCGCATGGGCAGATAAAGGTCATTCGTACCCAAATTGTAAAACCATTGAGACGAATACTCGGATCGTGCTCATGAAAGTTATGTAATCAGTATTCATTTATGCTCCAACAGTACATTTATCTGATACACAGGTGGAAGTATTCTTCTCAAGAGGCAAACAAAAGGCATTCATGAAGCACCTCCATCCCTTTGGCAGTGATTATTCTAAAATACACACATGAGACGTATATCCATCGTGTAAAAGATCTGTGGATATTTTGGGGTCATGCGTTCGAGAGCTATTTACGAACTCGCTTATTGTTGAAAGTTACAATATTGTTATGTGGACAAAATTGACAGCCAGCTTGATAAAGGATGATTTGATAGGAAAATGGTTCTATTGTCAAGTGATTCCATTTTGTTTATGGGTGAGGTGTTGGATGTTGACACATCTTCCCTTTATTTATCCTTTTTTTCTGTTTTTACAGTGCAAAAATCACAGAGGAGAAGCTGAGGTATGCTGCGTATAACTGCGTTGCTATTGACACTGACATGAGCCCTTGGGATGAGTGAGATGGCATCAGGTCAACTGGACACAGAAATGAGTATGTGGGACGAGAGGATGGTTTCCCTGCCAAGCGCCAGTGACTAAATCTCATTGAGAACACTACCCAGTTGGTCCATTTTGTCAATCTGCCCAGGATCTTGGACGGATCAATTCGTGCTCCATTTATTAGGGCTGTAACATGCTTGCACTATAAGGGTGGACTGGTGGGCTAGTGCTGCATCTTTGAAGGGCGTAAATTCTCCTTTCTTCTTCCAGTGTAAGTGCTGCTTCAAGGTGATGAAGATAAAGGATATGAGTCAATGTCCGTCTTGCTCTCTGCTAATAATGTGTATTGTGAAAGCTGATGGCATGGTCACATCTCAAAATCATACAAAACAATCTGGAACAAAATATGTTTGTGTGACATAAATAGTGACTTGTAATTAACAAGGAAACTTCTTGCACTTCATTTTCTCTTTTTATTTATACACATGAATACAAAAAATGGACATGTGATGATGTGACACATTCATAGATTTATTTATTTTCAAATATGATTAATGTTGAGAAAGGAGGACTTTTTATGGGGAATACCTGATAATTCTCAAATTTGAGAATCCTCTCTCCTGCAATATATACCAATTCTTAGTGATGAGATTAATGGCATAGTTTATAGTACACTGTTGATGGCCTTGTATTGATCACTGAGCCTGCAAACAGACAGGTTTTATTATTTGTTATCTCTTTTAGTTCATGTCTTTAGTTTCTTTCTAAAAGGATCATGAGACCCTTATTAAAAATGTCTGTACTGAAATGCTTGTGTATTCAAGAATTCCACATCTTAGTATGTACATGTATGTCATGCTATGTTAGGGCAATTCTTTGTGTCTTAAATATATAATATTGTTAAGGCTATTCAGTATACTAAGTCCTTTTTGTTAATTTCCCTCTTGGTCTACATTATGTTGAATGTAACATGAGTATTGAAAGGAAAAATTGATATAATTATTCTACATTCTCCTTGTTTCACATTCCCTGTCTAAAGTACCATTTATCTTATTGAGGCTATGAAGAAAGCATTGGAAACATTACAATAAAAATACGGTGAGAAAGGGTTTATAAAAGTATTTGACTTTGCAGGTATCTTTTGCATCCCCCTTATGCAAACAAGAAACAAATAGAGAAAGGTTAACATGCTCTCTTTTAAATTCTGATAATCTTTAGCTTCAAACTGGCTCATATTTGTTATTAAAGGTAGATTACTAACATGCACAAATCCACAATATTTATAAAAACCGTTGAGCAACTCCCAGAAACGTAATACCAGCTTTGTTGGTATCTTCTACTTGTATATCCAAGGATGAATATAAATCACTTTATTTCCTTTTTATTGTAATTCTTGGCATGGGCTGTAATACGATCGGTAAAAAAAATCTTCAGATAGTTAAAGAGTCCTTGAGTGAAAGAGTTCCATAGTATTTTAATACCAACTGCAAAAGAAAACTCGTCATGGTTCTTTTCACAAATACAATGTTCAGAAGAGAATTATGTGTGTTCATGTCTCATTTTCAGATTACTGTGTAAGGTGCTTATATGTAGAGCTGAGGATTTTTTAAAACAATCTAATTGATTCGTATTTATTTTGTTGGCAGAACTTGTCATTTGTACATCTTAAAGTGTGTATTAGTGATGCTGATATATTGTACAAGAGGTGTAATAAAACCATATACGTGCAAAATATACACCTTTGTCTCGTATAATGTAATGATATTCTTCACTGCAACACATCCAAATGCTTTAGATGAGAGAGTGCATATAAAGTGAACGTGCATCACAGGTATTAACAGATACTAGGGTGAAACAGAGGTTAAGAGAGGAAAGGAAGAGAATATGTGGGAGAAACAGAGAAAGTAAGATACAGCAAAGAGTTATACTTTCATACAGATAGGAGACAGAAATGCCATTGATAATGTACATTTTCAAGTTGTGATTTTCTCATCTGCCCGTCTCTAATTCCTCCAATTACTACCCTCAATCATTTTTCTTTTTTTACTATTACAATACCCCTCCACATTCTCTTTCCACTGTCTCAATTCCTGTAAACTGTCTATCCCCCTCCTATTCATCTCTCCTACTCTCCTCAATTCTCCTTTTAATGTGCAATCCTCTCAATTTTTCTACAATGCCATACTTTGTTTCATTAGTTTTCCTCTGTTGTATGTTCCATCCACTTATTCTTTCATCTCTTTCAATCAAACTCTAATCACCCCCCCCCCCCCCCCACCCTCAATCTCATTTTTAAGATCTTGAGCCTTGATTTTCAATACATTAAATGAACAAGAAGATACTCAATAAATGTCATCATAACCTTTTTATTTAAAATCATTATTTCAAAGGATAATAAATTCTATCATCACATATAGACTGTATACACAATTTCAGTCATATTGCAGTACAAAGAAGTGAGCAAAAAAATCTATATGCACCATCTGCATTTTGACAAAATAATTGAAGCTAACCCTTAATCATGAGCCACATGATAAAATAGTGGGAATGGTGAGTAGAAATGTCTAATTGATGAAGGAAAAACTAACAGAAGGAGAAGAAGTAAAAAAAAAAAAAGAAGGAATTTGCAGAGGTTAAAAGCATGGACTAGGATCAATTAGCAGTTTTGACCACTAATTCAGAATGATTCTCCAGGACGGAGAACGGTCCCTCTACAAACCTTTCTATCTTATAGTATGAACCATGACATTTCAAAATCAAATCGAACTAGTATAAAACATAAATACATAAAATCAAATTTATTTATCATAAGTCTGAGGAGCATATAAAAATGTGACTGCGATTTCCATCAGTATTAAACTTGTATACAAATAACAGTAAACAAATATATGCACTTACTTACCAGTAGACAATAATAGCAAAACAAATCAAATTCTGTAACATGGAATACTATTGCAACTAAAATCTTCCACAGAAAGCCCAGCAATATTGAAAGGTAATTATTGGTGAAAAGACATACCGGTAAATGGCATATTATGATTGCAGCACCAATAAATAAATTGTAAATATCATCAAGGCACTTCATTCTGAATTAAAACACTCAACATACACATATGACCTTCAAGATGGTATCGTTGTAGAAAAGTACAAATAACATAGATGTGAATAACAGTGGCAAGTATTGTTTTGGAAAGGAATTCAAAATAATGGATAATGGAACTTTTTGCCACATAAAAGATACCATGTGATTGTGGGTGAATAAAAAACTATGGTTACTGCTTAACATCCAATTGATGTTGACAATGGTGTTTACTGTTTGGCAAGTCCTTTATCCCCTAACCACTAATTGTTGTATATGAATGAGATTGTACGGTGATTTAAAAAAAAACAGAGTTTGAGTAAAGGTTCATTAAATGTTTACAGAAAATATAAAACCATAAAAAACATATTAACAAGAGCAAAGAGGAGATTTTAAAGTTTTCATATTAACAAGGAAAAACAAGCGAAATCATGACTCCACTACTGATTCATGGATACCAGAAATTAAATGGAGAGAAAACAGATGAGTATTTGATGTGGTGAATGAGCTGATAAATCATTGGATATTAAGTGCCACAGTCTCTTTTCTGTTTCTTTATTCAATCTCTTTCATTGTAAGATTCTTTTCAAGTCGAGGTACGTATGAATGGGCCAACAGTTTCCTCCATTTCAGTCATATATTGCACAATAGACTCACCATGTCATGGTGTAATATCAATTCACGAGACTTCTCACACATCTAGAAACCTTGTAGAGGTTTTTCTCTCTGTTCACCTAATGTACATGCGTCTGCATTTGCAAAGAGCTGACTGCACAGAACAAGAAAAAGGAAAGTCTTAAAACAATTTTAAGCACCAAAGATTCTTAGAATTTTTAAATATATGCATATCATTCTAATATTTACATTTGAATCTTTCGGAATGATAAATTTTAAATAAATAGCGTATTCTGAATAACTTTGTTATCTGGAATAAAGCTCCTCTTGACGTTGTCTCAACACACCCACCCTGACGTAGATCCAGCTGACGGCTAGAGCCAGTAGGAGCAGACCACATACCAAGCTTGTATGGACCCTATGGTAGAGAAGCTTGGAAGAGAATACACTCCATATGGACAGATGATAGCGCTGAATAACAATCTTTTTGAATGATAAATTTTCAATAAATAGAATCTTCTGAATAACTTTGTTATCTGGAATAAAGCTCCTCTTTCTGTGGTCTAGACACCCGGTCGTAGGTCCAGCTGAGAGCCAACACAAGTAGGATCAGACCACACACCAAGCTTGTATGGACCCCATCGTAGAGAAGCTTGGGGGAGAATACACTCCATACAAAGAGATGGTAGCGCTGAATGGTGGCAAGGACTGTGTAGGCTGCGATGGGTAGGCCACGGCTGAGGGCCAGAGTAAAGCAAGACTCCTCGACGGCACTGGAGAATCTGTTTTGAAATGACGGGGAAAGTAAGGGGTTTTATTACCAGTGGAAATATTTTATGTCAAATAACAATTTTACAACTTACATGAATCATAATTACAAGTGACCCAACCAAAGGTCTTTCCATTCTGCTTGATGCACGCAATTTGAATACAATCAAAGTGAGGGGAGGAGGAGGGAGATATCGTCTGCTCTATCAACATACCCCTTCAAAATACAGTGGGCTTGAAAAGGTTGAACAACCAATCTTCCTGTTTTTTCAGTAAACTATATATTAAAAGTGGTTAAGAAACCAGCTAATTTGCAATATCTATCAAGTTTGTAAGTCTATGATTCCTATACACAGGCCTGTATATTTTAGGTACATCATTCAACGAGCAGGCTGGCTGCTTTTTTTTCTTGAATAAATGATTTTTGTTTCTACAGTTCAAAAATTGTGGTTGCACAAGTTGCTGGCAGAGCTTGGTGCCCTCCAACCCCCCCCCCCCCCCCCCCTTTAAAAAAAAAAAAAATATCCAACTATTCCCAGATCGCTAGGGCAATCTTATGCCTGAGTTCTAGCCTCCATCAGTTTACTGACCTCTGTATATGATGTGTAGTAAGATAACCAGCTAGCTTGGTGAACCAGAGCAATGGACCAGCATAGGTTGAGATGAGAGTGAGAGATCCAGCTAGGATGAGGTTATACCCATCCAAACCAACATAGCCAGCTGATATATCCATGCTAGCTGCATTGTTAGAATTACCCTACAGACAAAACATAAACAAGATAATTTCATGAAGCATACTGCGTGACAAATAACTATGTATTCGAAATGTCCAACTATGGCATGATGCAATAAAGAATCCCTACAGAAAAATATAAATTGTAATTCATCATTAAGAATTGATGAGGTTTGATAATAAAGAATCCCTACAAAAAAATATAAATCGTAATCATTATTAAGAATTGATGAGGTTTGATAATAAAATACAATCAAAGTTCATTCACATTATATTTTACGAAAATTGGGGCTTAAGTTCTTCCCTAACTCTGTAAGCAATGTTTACACTTGTGCCATCGTGTCTGCTTTCACTTGTCATATAACACATGTCACAGAAATTCACAAATACGTGCAAGTCATAAATAAAAGGGTTACAATATTTGTTACAGCAAAAAAGTACCTGAGCATAAAAAGCAGCCTGTCCCATCCACACATGCACCAGGGTCACGACCCACACCTTCCACTGTAACCATGGTAACAGATGCCTATGAAGACAGTACTGCAGCAATACCAAGATGGCCACCACTGCACCGTTATGAGGCCTCAGGATGAGAGCGACCAGCATCAGCAGGGAAGAGTGGAAGTCCTCCAAGATGATGCCTGCAACGCCTCCAGGGTGATGATGGGGTGATGCAGTCCCATTCTCCATGGTCCCATCTGGGAAAGGGAGAGATGATGGGCCTGCTCTGATGGCCCGGACGCACTTGAATGCTGTGGCAAGGAGGGAGATGATGATGGTAGCATAGGTGAACCAGGCTTCTAGGATTCCCCTGGTAAGACACGAGTGAAACATGAAGAACATTCACAAATCTCTGATAATTAATGGAATTATTTGTCCATCTCAATGTATTTGTACGGTGTATATGTCTACTTCCCATTCAGATAAATGTATCTAGAGGAAATCTGAGGTGTGCTCTTCAGTGTACACGATTCAACTTATTTTTTAAATTCAATTTTTTTCTTTATATGTTAGTTTGTTGATGCTGTACATGTAGAGCAGGGTAAACTATTCAGATTGTTTGCTTCTCATTAAATGCTATTCCATTACATTAATTCAAGGTTAACTTTATAGACTCCTCCCTTCTAAATGAATTTGTCTAAATTTAATTGGGCTGAAACTTCACAAGATACAAGTATGAAAATCAATCACTTTTTCTCATCCCCCTGTTAAGGTTTTATTATATTCCATATTCATCTCGGTATTGTTATTTCTCTCATATTTAGAGGTGGAGGAGTATAGAAAACAGCTTACTTGGGAGACGATGGAATAGTGACTGGTAGGACGATGGCTCCTATTGCATTCCTGTACAGCACTGTACCAATGAATGATACAATCATGAAGGGTATATGCTTTCTTCTATCCAGAACCATTGTGACATAGATGATGGCCAGGCACACTGGTAGCAGAGCTGAGAGGTAGGATATATTTTCAGGCCTAGGAGAAAAATCAAACAATCGCTTTAAATAAAGACAAAGACATAGGCTCTGTTTCATAAAATTTGTTATCACTGACAAGTTTCAATAACTGTTATAAGCTACTGAAATTGTGGCATTTGATTGGTTAAGAGCAAATTTGTCATGGAAATCTAGCATTTGTTATTGATTGCAAGTTTTATGAAATGGGGCCCTGACCTGAAATTACATGAGCTCAATGTTTGGAATTGTAAATAGACTTTAAAAATCAAATTTTTTTAAACATGCTGAAAAGGGAACAACAGAATTGTTACTGGATATATGGTTTACTCCGACCCACTAAATACAAAACATGAGGGAAAATGAATTCAAGCTCTGGGTAGAATTCCAAATTCAATTGATATAACAATAGTTCTTCATTCTTATCTTAGGTTAAAGAAGAGAGAGACAAAAAACTTATTTCAATGCTCCTTTCAAATAATTATAACTTCTTTTCAACAGCCTGAAGGCGGCGAGACATTTTATGATGTATACAATTTGTTGATATCTATACCAATCGTATGCTACCATCTTTATACCACTATCACATAGCCTACCTGACAAACCAGTCTCCTATGTCTGTTAGATTGGCCCACTCCACACCAGTCTGATTCCATGCTCTCAGCACCCTCATCAGACATGTGCACAGGAAGGCAATGCTGCTTAGTCTCATGTTACAGGACAGACAGCAGGACAGACACACGCCCAGCATTAGGGTCATGGTGTTGAAGTACCAAGTCTGGTGCTCCTCCTCGACAAAACTGCTGGAGGCAAGGCTGTAGGTGTGGAGAAGACTGCCTCCTATCAGGCTTACTTCTGTGATGGTTAAAGCAGGGTTCTGGTAAAATGAAACAGACCAAACATATGTGATGTTACAAGTGTGCAATCACCAATAAATGCCATAGTTTCTGAGTGATATTTTGAACGTTTGACCCATATGTGAATAATCTGAACACAGGTAGAGATGAATTTGTCCACTAAGGAAAGCAGAAGTGGTCACTGTTAAAAGGTCGTTTACGAAGACAAATTATACAATACCAATTCTTCTCAGATGAGTCCATGTGAGTGACCTTTATAGACAGGTACCCTTTATATCAAAGTCACTATAGGCTCATTCAATATGACGAGGTAAACCACTGTGTGTGTGTTTTTTATGACGTATTAAACATAATCCCCTTCGCATTACTGTATCTTATAACACACAGATAGTCAGTAAGCGCAGGAGCTTTGTTGCACGCAGCAACTTTTTTTATCCCCACTTGTCATTTGTTTCAGTGTAAAACAATGCCTCCAGCACCACCTTTGAGGCAGACTCAGCAGAGGCATAAAAAATGCTAAGGTAGACCATTAACACCACCCCAATTTCCCACATCATATATAAACGAACCATCAGACATTTAGACTGGACATCACACAAAAACCTACCTTGATTGTTTCAATGAAATGGGCGTAAGCGTTGAGAGGAGTTAATGCCAACACCATCATGCAGAATCCACAGATCATCACAAACATCAAGAAAAGAAATAGAGATGTGCTGGATCCTGAGCAGAGGACATCCCTGTTCTCTCCACCAAGGCCACTACACATCCCGATCTGGATGACACTTGTTACTAGGCAACAGACGAGGATGGCTGCGGCTGCGTTGGTGAGATGGGAGCTGGGCCGGTTGGCTTGGGAGGAGCCCATCTCAAGAACAAGCAAAATGAAGACCTGCAAAGAGGGTGGGTATTAAATTCCTTTAAATTATATTTGGTCTTTTTTTGAGAGAGATTCAGTTAGCTGATAAGATGATGGGTCAAACATTTCTGGAAGGCACTTCTCACTTAACTTAACTGCCCTAGAGAATTGCTGGGAGAGACTAGGTTGAATCTAGCAACAGGCTATTGGGAAGGATAATACAAAATTCCTGTCACTGTAAAAAGTGTGATTCTACCCTCTCCAATCTAAACTTAATTCTTTACACCAAAGAATTTGTCATAATAGGACCAAGGTAATGTCCATATATCAATGGGTGGGGTGGTATATCCCATCTAATTTATAACTTGTGCTATGTATCAGTAATCCTTAATCCTAGAAAATGATCACCATTCTTACCATCCAGAGTAGCAGCATTCCTGATGCCATAGCATGCATGTCATACTGAGAGAGCGTGCTGGTGATCCTATCTCTCATGGTATGCAGAGCTACCACATACTGCTCCACGGCCCTCTCACCTATGTTCAACTGATTCTGAGAAGTGAGAGATGTCTCTGTATTCAGCCACCTACTGTGGAGTCTCACAGCCTGCATCAGCTTTAGTTTGGCATCTGTGCATAAAAAATGTAAAGAAATTCAGTCAAATGGCACATAATCTAACATTGTATTGGCTTAAGTCACAACTCTTGTATTCAAAATTACAAAAAAGAGCTTTTGAATGAAAATTACAAACTTATTACATGGTAAGTCTTTAGTGTTCAAATATTTCATTTTGATAATAATAATAATAATAATATTTAATTGATAAGGTTATTCATGAGGTGCAAGATGCAGCAGATCTACTTGATGATGAAAATGAGAAAATTATTCCAAGACACATTTTTAATTTGTTCATTAAGTTAGACAATTATGGTCAACATTTAGTGCTCCGTAAATCGGTGGCCTAAAAGAACTCTACCCACTTCGTTAGGATTAAACCTGAACACTTTTATAAAAACTGCCCTTGTTCCTATTCCTATCCTCACCTTCATCACTTTTGCCTGCGTTTTTCTGATGTACGGCCATGAGCTGGTATCCATTGAGCTGCAGCGCCCTCAGTTGTTCACGCATGGCCAGGCTACCATTGAGGACCTGTGGTATTGCGCAACCAAGGCTGTTCTGAGGGATGGGATGGCCCAGGAGGAGGGAGAGGGTCGGCGCCATGTCTATTTGCAGGACATCGAGAATAGTTGCCTTCATACCTGAAGTAGAGAGAGAGAGAAGACAATTTACGAGAAAAAATATGTTACCCTTCAAGAAGATTTCATTGCCAGTTGCGCACGATACTGATGTGCATAAGATGCTTAAAACATCTACTTTTCAAGTAAAATAAAAAAGACACCAAAATTTGTACTCTTCCAACTGAAAATCCAGATAGGATCATAGATCTGGATTGTGGATCACCTTGTAATATGCATTGCTCTTTCATAAATTTTCATTACATGAAATGCTCAAACAAGTCACAAAGAGCTTTCCTTCTTCTTCACTTTTGTTCGCCTTAAGAATTCATTTTTTTCTATCATAATGTTCCTTTCAAAATTAAAATGTTTAGGGAACCTCTATTAGCATTATTTTCCAGAAGAATGCAAAGTTCTGAATCTCGGAGCAAAATTCAATTTGTTATTCAAACCTGTTTAAACCGAACCAGCTTCATACAAGGGCTACCTGTCTACAAAGATTAAATTTTGTTTTCCTTGAGTGGTGAATCTCTTTGACAACTGTAGTACTGCATTAAAGGAGCTAAAAGGGTCCAGTAAATAAAATTCTTCTGGTTAAAGACCACTAATTGTATTATTTGATTGTTTTTGTACACAGGTTTGGCTTTATTTCCAACTTTCCATGTACAACTAAATGCCTCCCATCTTTCTGTGTATGTTTTGACTGATTGTACCTTTGCCTCCAGAGTATGCAGAGCTGATGAAGACCAAGGGGGTGAGAACTTCGCCCCTTGATGCTCCTCCATGGCTACCTGCTTCACTCATTCCATGGTCACCACAGAGGACGAGCAACGAGGGCAGGGAATTCTCATCATCCTGTAAAAATGATCGGCGAGAATAGAAATTGTGAAAGAGTCAGGTACAAGAACAGAAGTCATTACCAATAACTGCAATAATAAAGAAATTGTAATACTAATTGCACTTTGTATTGGCTGGAAGCACCTGTTTGTGCTTCTGAAGTATTTCAACCCTTGTCATAAGTGTTTGTCAATGTACAAAATAGTGTGGCAGTATTAAAAGTAATAAGTAGACTGAAGTTGCATGAAAAAAAGCTTTGTATGCAAATGGCAGAACTTCCAATGTTTATACATTTCAAAGTGTTATCCCACTTCTCGCTAACATTGCAATGTCATGTAGCCTAGTCAATGGATGTGTAATAGCTAAAGGCCTTAATTATTATGGTCCTACATACATGTATGTTCAAAACAATGGTTTTCAAATGATGCTTCTTGTAGTCCAAGTGAGCCTTTACTTGCTACTTCATTTTGCTACCTACATAATTTTCTGATTCAATATAATGATAAAAGTTATCTCCCCAACCATAGTGAACAAACATCAGCATGGCTTAAATACAACTTAATGGCATACAATGAGTTTTGCTATCTCAAACAATAAATAAAAGACAACTGATTATATATAGTCACCCCACCTGCTTCAGCAAAGTTTGATGAATTTTCTTGAGAATGTTGTCCATCTCTCGTAGCTTTGGCTTGACCAGAGGACTGTAAGGTCCACCCAGATGACCAATGTGATCCAGACCAAGGTAGTGAAGGATGATGGCATCCCAGTCAGAGGAGTTCTTGAGGGCAGGCTCCACGTTGCGGGTCACATTATTGTCAACCTTGGGAGATATACATATACATGTCATGTCAAAGCAGTGCATTTTGATAATCTAGACTATTTGTAAAATAGTAAAATGAAGTATTTTCTATATTTTTTATAATACAAAGAACACAGTATTGACATTTAAACCATAACAGAGAAATTTTAAAATCTATTCTGAAATCGTAAAACATCATTACAACATTCAATACATATCTAACATAACTATATATTTCAAAGATTTCTTTATACAAAGTAAACAGGTCTTCATCATACACTTCCTATCTCTTTATTTCAAGTTCTTTATCCCTTTCTCACCCTTTCCTCTCTTCCATTCTGGTATACACAACGCAAATTGATGCTTAAAAGAATTCAAGCCTTCTTCTTTCCAAAATAATGTTTGGGTTATTAACTACAAACAATTTGAGCAGTTTGTCAAATATGACAAATATTTTTGAAGAAATACTAATTGCTACTTTGAATTGAATTGAATCCTTAATTTCTGCCCCCTAAATCTCTGTCTGTCCCTTTTTCTCTCTATGAATCTTCCTATAAATCTCTCAACGTTTTTTTAAAATATGATATACCTTTCTCTGTCCGACCATCTTATTCCAATTCTCACTCTCACGCTAACAATTTCTCCATGTTACCTCAGTGTAATCAGTCACAAAGAAGGATGTGGTTCCGTCCGTCTTGTGAAACTGGCCCGGGAACATTCTCATCCATGTATCATCGCCATAGAGATGAATCCTCTTCTGACTCAGGTACATCTGAAGGATAATGTTGTCCTCTTGAAGAGCTTTGGAATCCAGGTTGATCACAAAGTCAATAAACCCAGGAACGGTCCCAGTCGTGATGCCCTGTTGGATAAGCAATAAGGCACACCACATAGATATTGAATGAAGTAACTATATTCCTTCATCTGATTTTGAATTATTAAAAAAGATGGATTGAACCTAGGACCTTTCCTTCTACAAATGAATGCTTCATATACCTAACAAGCATAGTTATAATTGCCTCTGAATATCTGTGATCTAAATTTGAAAACTGGTTTAGAAAATCACTAGGGAGATAAGGAGATGTGTGTTGGTCTAGCAGTAATGCCATGGTATGGACAGCTCTCTGTCTTTACCTACAAACCGACTCAGACGGACCCTGATTAGAGACTGAGTCACATCTTTCAGATGGTGATGTTAAAGGTCGGTCCCCAGATGTTAATAATCATATCTGATCGATACACAACTGTAAAAACCCAATTATGCACACACATACTGATTTTAAATAAAATGTCTACATGTAGGTGTCGACATAAGATTTGGCAAAAAGAGTTTTCACTTCCAAAACAACATTTGTATCATCAGGTTTAAAATATGATACTGTGCATACCTTAATCCTAGGCATGGTCACAGTAGGAACATGGGCCTTGGCTACAAAGCTCTTTGTCTCTCCTTTGTCTATCAAACCTCTTGTGTAAGGCATCAAATCAGGACCTCTTTCTCCTATGACAAAATCAGCTCTCAAGCCATCGATCAGCATAATGACTATCTTGCCAAACGTTGGACGGACTGGTGGTGCCAATTCAATATTGAGGTCTTCTCCATCTTCTTCTGCTTCGTTCAAGTCCACTGCAGCCTGGAGGAAGTCCTCCCCGAAGCTCTCGGTGTCGTAGTCCTTCCTCTTCCAATTGTCACTTGCAGCCGTTGGCTCGCCGGGGAGGTTCCTGAAAGTGGCATGTCCAGGGATTGCAGCCTTCAAGGGGAAGAATCCTTTGAGGAAGAGAGCCAAGCCAAATAACTCTCCAAGGACACAGGTAATGAGGATGAATGTCCTTCCTCTCATGACCATGTTTGATATGAGCAACTTGTATTTGGATGGATGCAAACTATGGTGCACTGTGTAATGGTAAAAGAACAGTAATGGTTGTTAATATCTTACCCTGTCAACATTCAAGATTTGAGATTCATACATGTCACTCGAGAATGTGATGTAAAAAACCCAGCCTTTTTCGTATATAGATTTCTAGATCTAGTCTATCGGATCATGATTATCAACAAAGCAAATTCTCGTAAGAGAGCCAGAGTGAATTTTTTTTCTGATGGATATCACATCTCAGAGTCAGACTTAGATCTAGATCTAGTTCATTAATCATCAAGAACACATGGATGGCAAATTTTGGGTTAACTTACTGACCGAGTCTTAATTGGAAAGGCCAGGGACCAAACCAAGGCAAGACTAAGAAGAGCGGGCTAAGAAATAAACCCAGAGCGTAGGCGCGACGCAGGCACAAGTAAGTAGAGTCTACATCACGACAATAATACTGTTTTTTTTTTAACATGGCTCTCCACCAAACGCAAATGCAATCAATAATCATATGCCATCATATTTCATAAATCACCAAGCAATTTCTCTTCTTCTTCTTCTTCTTCCAGTAGAGTAAAGGAGCCGGTTTTCGGCCACTTAAGACAAAATCCTATTTTTTGGACACTTTACTTCCTATTTATTATCATTTTTTGTTCAAATCATGAAGCAAATATTATTATTATTTAAACAAAACAAGAATCCCAGAAAAAAATCACGAATTGCCATGACAATATTCCTTTCAATTTTCACTGTTTCGGAGTCAGTTTTCGGCATAGCATACCAGTTTTCGGCAGCATGTACAAAGTCAATAGGAAGCGCGCGCACGCGCCGTGCGTTTCCGCGCTAATCTATAGCACTAGCGGGCGGAGCAGATATCCCACGCCGGAGCTCCCCGGAGCTCGCCAGGCCGAAAACTAGTACTGCGGTGATCGGATATTGGAATCTGAATTAGACAGAGATATCGTGTGCGCGTTGCGGTGCGCGGCTGCATTGATTTAATACATGCGATGAGATACTTTTGAGCTTGCAACTAGCACAAAATCGGGCTCTAAATCTGAAAAATACTTGAAATAAAGCTCATTTTATGGTACCCATATTTCTTACAGACACGCGTAAGATAGACTACTCGATTTTCAGATTTGGGTAGCGGGACCGCCGATTACATCGCTAAAATGTGATATTTTAGGATATATTTTTCATTGCAAATGTGGTTCTTCAGTGACACTGGCATCGTATGGTATGTGTGGGATATGTGTTATGCTATTATGCGATGTATTTTAGAGGGATTTTACCTTGCATCCAACCAATCGGCCGAAAACTGGAGCTGGCCGATTACCGGCTCCTTTACTCTAGTCCGCCGTTGGCGTATTATCGTACTTTGTGCTTGTCAAGCGTAACTTAGGCCTAGGTCAATTCAAAGCAGTAAAGCCGTCAATTCAAAGCAGTAAAGCCTTCAATTCAAAGCAGTAAAGCCGTCACTAAAGTAAAGAGTAAAGTTAATAAGGTAAGCAGCAGAGACTGCCGTGGCCGTGGCGTGGAGCCCAGCTCCGGCGCGGAGCGGCGCTGGCCCGGGAATCCTGCCGAGGTGGCCGACCATAACTCGATCGAGCAAACTAAGAAAAAGGGAAGATAGTTTCAAAGGAGCTCATGGTTCCACATGACGTTATTTCTCATCGTTTAAAAAATGACAAAGTGATTTTCTTACCTGAAACGAGGAATATGCTCCCGGATCCTCCTAGATTAATTTCTCGGCCACGGCAACTAAAAACTAGGATCTAGTAAAACTGAACCCTAATAGAGATCTATATAAGGACTCTAGAGGGCGTACATCCTGACGGTAAATTTTCGCTGATAAGAATTCCAGAATTTGTTTATGATGGTGGAAGTTGTTTATGACTTTGTATATTTAGGACTCTAGTCCGCCGTGTCCGCGGTGTTTGTTATAATGGTAACTTTAAAAAAGCAATTGCTAAACAGGTCACACAAGCTCGAAAGGCAATGTATAGTATGTTAGTAAAGGCAAAAAGGTTGCATTTATCTGTTGATACACAATGTCATTTATTTGATCACTTAGTTTTGCCAATTCTATTATATGGTGCTGAGGTCTGGGGCTATGAGTGTATAGATCAACTTGAAGTTTTCCAAAGAAAATTTTTGAGAACGATATTGTTTGTAAATAAGTGTACACCTGACTGCATGGTTTATGGTGAAACTGGACGTGGTAAAATACTCGATAAAATTAAGTGCAGGATGATTGGATATTGGGTTAGATTAGTTAAAGGAAAGCAATCAAAGTATTCATTGATTCTTTTTAAGTTTCTGTTGCAGTTGCAAAGTGAAGGACAAAGTTTAGTTAATATAAAGTCACAATGGGTCGAGTTTCTTGCAGACAGTTTTGACTATGCAGGACTTGGGAACGTCTGGCGAGCTCAAGGAGAAGGATATAGTGCTGCCTGGATTATGAATACTATGAAAACCAGGCTTTCTGACATGTCTATTCAGGAATGGAGCGCAGCTACCTGGTCAAATCGTATTTGCACGAACTATAGGATGTTTAAGAATGAGTTGGTTTATGAATAGTACCTGCAGATATTATGTCAGAAGGAAGCAATAACTTTAAGTAAATTTAGATGCAGAACACATAGATTACCATTTAATAACTTTGTATTAAGCGCTATATAAATGTAATTTATTATTATTATTATTATAAAGGTAGATTTGATGCAAATGTAGTAGATGATTTGCAATGCCCACTCTGTACACCAACAGATATTGGTGATGAATTTCATTATATTTTTGTATGTCCATTTTTTCAAAATGAAAGAAAAATGTAAATACAAAATAACTTGTGTGGTAGTAGCTTAAGACCAAGTGCGTTGCACATGGATAAGGTTTTTAACAGTGGCGGATCCAGGAGGGGGCACAGGGGGCACGTGCCCCCCCCCCCCGGCCAAAAAAATATGTTAAAATCAGGCCTTAATTCGCCCAAAATGTACTTAAAAACAGGAACGTGCCCCCGGCAACAAAAAAATATTAAAAATGATGTTTAAAAAAAAAAAAAAAAAAAAAAAAAAATATGCCAATGGCTGACATAAAAAGGTGACTTTATCCCCCCCCCCCCCAACGGAGGAAAATGTCAAATTGAAAAATTTCTTGACCCCCCCCCCCCCCAAAAAAAAAAAAAAAAAAATAGTGTCCTCTTACCGGGACCCATGTCCAACGTCAGCCTCATTCAAACTTATATAGGGCCTCTTAACAGTATAGATACAACCAAGGCACCACTCCCCTCCTACACTTGCTCAAATGTAGGTAACTAAATCATAAGGGGCCTTAATAAATGACCCCCCCCCCCCGCAAAAACAAGATCATGAGAGAGAGAGAGGAAAAAAAGGGCCCCTTTTCTTTTCTTAACCCGATCTACACCTTGTTGGCGTAAAAAATCGACACTGATCTTTACCTATCTGTTTTAAGTTTGCTGGAGGAGGCCTTCCCCTTCGCCCCCCCCCCCCCCGTTCTACACGTTGTTGGCGGGATTATTCGCAGGTGTTCTCCCTTCTTTAAACCCTTTTTCTTTCCTTCTTCCTCTTTTTTGTTCCCTTTTAGCTCTCCCTTTTCCCTTGTCCTTCCTTACCCCCTTTCGGGGTGGGGGGGGGGCGTGGGTGAGGGGGGGGGGGGGGCAAGGGCCTTTTGGCCGCCCCCGAACTACAACTTGTTGGCGGGAAAATTGCAACTGATATCCCGCTCTTTTCTTTTCTTCGTCCTTTTTTTTCTATCCTTCCCTTTATCTCCTCTTTTCCTTTTTTCTTTCCCTTTCCGTCCTTCTCTTTTATTTTTTTAGCGGGGGAGGGGGGGGGGGGAGTTTACAAATGGGAGGCAAGGCCCTTCCCCCCCCCCCCCGATCTGCTTCTTTTCCCCCTTTTTCGTCTTCTTCTTCTTCTTTCTTTCCCTTTCTCTCCTCTTTCCCTTCTTTTCCTTTTCTCTCTCTTTCTACCTCTTTTTTGTTTTTTTTGCGGGGGGTGGGGAGGGGGCAAAGCCCCCTCGGCCCCCCTGGATCCGCGCCTGCCTTTAAGGGGTAGCTGCGCCTGTCGTCGGATAGCTAAAAGTACTACCAACTAAAAGCACAGTGATAACAACTAAAAGTGAACCAGGTAATCGCAGTGAGCCATAGTGGTCTCATGGATAGGCGACCGCCTAGTAAGTGAGAAGTATCAGGTTCAATCCCCAGCTAGTATATTTTTTTAAGAAAAAGAAAAAAAAAAGGGCCTATGTTGAGGGGGATCAGTGTAGAAAAAAATAATAGGGAGCCCCTTTGGGTTTTTTTTTTTTGTAGGGGGGGGGGGGTCGTCAGCTAGCTGGCGGTCGTCAGCGTAGCCGGCGGTCGTCAGCGTAGCCGGCGGTCGTCAGCGTAGCCGGCGGCCGGTAGCGTTAGCCCCAAAGCCATGTCCAATTTTTAAACTACATTCAAGAGTCCCTTATTGCCAGGGTAAACAAGTTTTTTACATTTTCAGTACTACTTTCTTCCTTTTATTCACTCTCTACACTCCCATGCTATCCTTTTCCAGTCTGTAAACAACTTTACAACATGAATTCAATGATGGGCAAGGTTTTACTTCTTATATTAAAGTGCCCAAACTTCGCGAGGTGAAACAAAGGGTCTTTCAATAATCAAGTCTATTCAAGCCCAATATGGGTAACAACTGGCCTGCATACCCGAGCAGAATCATTTTGTGCTCGACAAAGACACACAGCCTTGGGTAAAGAGGTCCATTATTATTATTTTTTTTAGTTATATTTTTCATTTACAGTATACTATTAAATATCAGGAATATTGGATGCTCTGTTTCAAATACAGTCCAGATTGCCGAGCAATGAATTATCTCATGCTTCTTGTTCAAAACCATATCTAACTGGTTTTTAAAACGGTATCATTTTAATTTCCATTTCCCAGCATTATTTTGAACTGTCTTGAACTGAAGTTGTTTTCCTTTCTTATATTTCGATACCATTACGTCATCTTTCTATGGGGATATTCAAAGTGCGTGTCCTCCATGCAGACAAGGAGAAAGACCTCCTCAGTACCTTTATGGACAATACATCAACATAATGCGGTCACTGTTGCAATGTCAGGACTGCTATTATTACCTCTTATGTAATCCTCGCAATTGACAAAAATATTCCGTCAATGAAGGGAGGGTCGGGTTTTTTTTTCTTTCTTCAATTCATTAATTGATGCCATGTCAGAAAGAGCTGAATAATTTGTTACGTAACTATTCAAACATTGCCGGTGCAAGCTATTGAACACGGAATCGAATAGCCAAGCTTCCCTATTCATTGGTGCCCTGTTATAGAATTCGTAGCATATCCTAAATGGAATAGATCCGTGTTCTGGTCATTATGCTATGTCAGGGCAGTGGCCTATTTTCATATCACTTGAAGTTTAAGTCAGCAGTTTGCAAAATAAATGAAAATAACATAAAACCTCACTATTATATCAGAAATATCAGTAACTGAAAAAAAAACATTTACGGGCAATCTTGACAACATCGGACTGCAAAAGTATGAATAATTATGCATCCCGAAATCGTTAAATCAGTAAATCAACATATTAAAGTCATTAACATGCAAAAAGTGCTATAAGACCAAGAAGCGAACCAGTTAGTAGCAGTGAGGCAAAGTGGTCTTGTGGATAAGACTGATCGCTTCACAACGCAATGTATGTATGTACTCAGGTTCGACTCCCAGCTTTTTCTTTATACCTCATGTTATTTTTTTTATTTTTTTTCTTTACCCATAATATTGACGTGTCCATCTCCTTTTTTAAAGGGGACACCCCCCCCCTCAACAAAGAAAAAATAGCATGTAATACTCTTTCTTTAACAAGCGACTCTCTGAATTAGTCAGAAAACATCTTTTGCTACATCTACAACAATTAGTGTAAGTATGAAGAATACATGAAGATTAGCAATGTGACACTTTAGTCTAGTGGGTAGGCAATCGTCTGATAACTGGAAGGTATCGGGTTCGACCCCCAGCTGTTGCGTTTTTTTCTTTTGCTACATCTACAACAATAAGTATAAGTATGAAAAAAAAACATGGAGATTAGCAATGTGACACTTTAGTCTAGTGGGTAGGCAATCGCCTGGTAACTGGAAGGTATTGGGTTCGACCCCCAGCTGTTGCGTTTTTTTCTTTTGCTACATCTACAACAATAAGTATAAGTATGAAGAAAAAAAACATGGAGATTAGCAATGTGACACTTTAGTCTAGTGGGTAGGCAATCGCCTGGTAACTGGAAGGTATCGGGTTCGACACCCAGCTGTTGTTTTTTTTTTAATCTTTGAAAAAGAAAAACTGATGTCAAACCCATTTTGATCTCACTCAAAGTCCATATTTATTGCTATTCTCTTAATTGATCTATACAATGAGCTTGCAATTAACTTGTAAGCAAGGTAAAGTATTATATTTACGAAGTACAAGAAGGACAGGAATCCTGTTTTATCTATTTATCAAACATTATTACATTCAATACTTTTTCAGTCCCAATGAGAGAGGGAGAGAGAGAGAGAAAGAGAAAGAGAGCCAGAAAGAGACAAGTGAAGAGAACCCAATACACCTCATCAGTGTAATAAAGTCTGATGATCTTAATCTACATACTTACTTCAAATATTTTGCCGGGCAGATATTATTATTTATAAAACAAACCAATTTTGGAGTTTTATAATAAATATTATTGTTGTTGTTGTTGTTGATGTAAAACAATGAGAAAATAGGGACCTTTCGCGGGGGGGGGGGGGGGGAGCAATGTAGAAAAAAA